TCCTGTTTCCTGACCAACCACAAGTCTCTCTTTGTAGAAGGTGAACTATTTATGGCATATTCCAAGTTCTAAGAACCCAGGGCTCTTTTGCAAGGGAGGCAGTGTGATGTAATTCAAAAAGCTCGGAAACTGGGCTCAGACCACCAGGGCCTAAATCTCGACTCTCATTTGCCAGAAGTGTCGCTCTGAGCTGGTCACTTAATCTCTTTGAGCTGGACTCCCAATCTGTAAAAGGAGACAATAAAAATTTATACCTAACATATTTTAGGGAGTTATTGCTGGGATCTGATGAGACAGTTTATGGGAAATCATTGTTTAAATTGTAAAGCATCAGGCAGATGTTATCAATCACTCGTGTTTGCCTGTGGGGTGGGCAGGACAGAGAGGAGGGGCAGGAGGGACATTTACTTCTCACTGTATCCTTTTTTTGTTGCATGCATATAGTGAAAATAATATGTTAAAAATATTTTAATGTGTAATGAAGGGGAAAATGTAAATAGAATTGTGTGCCCATTTCCATCGTCGCCCAGCGAAGACATCTAGAATGTGGGCACCAATGGCCCTCAGGTAGGAACCTCCGTCTCTCCGGAGCTTCCGGTGCAGGAGCTCCTGCGACACGACCCAGCTCATATCTCCTGAACCATTTTTCCTTGCTTGTGTTAATCCACAGTTTGGAAAATAGAATTGGGTGTCCAGCCCTGCCATGGATTTCACATTGTCTGATTTACCTTTTTGAAATCTAGAGAGAATAGGGACCCCTCTTGCCAAGTGATTGGGGCAACTTATAGAATTGTGTGTAAAGACAAAGGCATATTTGGGAAGGCATTTTCCCAGAGCATTTTGAGGTCTTGTGCTCATCCCAAAGGCACGGCAAGAAGTAAATGCTTTATACCCAGACAAAACTATAATTCTAAAAATACATGCACCCCTACGTTCATAGCGGCACTATTCACAATAGCCAAGAAATGGAAACAACCTAAATGTCCATCGACAGATGACCGGATAAAGAAGATGTGGTATATACACGTACAATGGAGTATTACTCCGCCATTAAAAAGAATAAAATAATGCCATTTGCAGCAACATGGATGGACCTAGAGGTTATCACACTAAGTCAGAATGAGAAAGACAAATGCCACCGGATATCACTTATATGTGGAATCTAAAATATGACACAAATGAACATATCTATGAAACAAAAACAGACTCACAGACATAGAGAACAGACTTGTGGTTGCCAGTGCGGAAGTGGGAGGGGGAGGAAAGGACTGGGAGTTTGGGATTAGCAGATACAAGCTATTATATATAGGATGGATAAACAACAAGGTCCTACTGTATAACACAGGGAACTATATTCAATATCCTGTGATAAACGATAATGGAAAAGAATATGAAGAAGAATATATGTATAACTGAGTCACTTTGCTGTACAGCAGAAATTAACACAACATTGTAAACCAACTATACTTCAATAAAATTAAAAAAAAAAAAGAGGTGATTTAATCAGAGTCCCCGAGGCATCAGAATGGGAAGCAGAGCCTTGCCTCCACTTAATGAAGCTCTCTGCCCACCCCCCGCCAGGTGATGAGCAGGTCCTCCAAGGTCCTGAGGGCTCATCTGGGTCCTTCCCCCTGATTCTATGTCCCAGGGCTGTGCCTGACACTCGCACCAGCCCGCTCGCTGCCAAGACTCCACTCCTCCAGTTGTCACCACTGGCCTCTTCGAAAGCTCTATCCCCTCGACAGCACTAGCTGGTCAATGTGACACTCTACTTGGGTCAGCCTTCTGCCAATAAAGGCCCCCCCCCTTAATCCTGCTTTGGGGGTATAAGGCTTAGAGCAAAGTCCCTTGAGCCCCCAGTATGGAGGCTCCTTCGGCTCTGCCACACAGCCCTCTCCTTCGGAGCACTGACATTTCAGTCCGGCACCAGCTGCGGGGCCAGCGCAGCCTTTCTCCAGAACCATTTGGGCCTTGGTTTTGAGTTGGAGCCACCAGGTGAGGATCCTTCCCCACTTTAGCAGTGCCCTGATGTTATTCCCCACGACCTATCTTTCCCAAGCCCCGACTGTACATAAGTGAGCTCAGATTGTATACAGGATTCAGGTTCTGTCCCAGGAGGCCCTGGGTCCTTGCCATCTAGGGTGTGGGGTTGTCGAGCATAAGAGGGGGCTGGCATGTATGACCGTGGCCTGTCTCCATGGGCCTCAGCTCCAACCAAGACATAGCCAGGCTTGCCCTCCTCTTGTAAGAGTTTAACAAGGATGCTTGTGATTCCCTTATACACTATAATGGTTCAGAGCAACAACTTTGGAGTCAAAGACAAACCTGGGTTCAATCCCAGCTCCACAGTTCACAAGCCATGCAACCTTGAGCAAGTTACTTAAATCTCCTGCAATCTCAGTTTCTTCATTTGTAAAATGAAGATCAAATAGAGCCAGGTTACAGGGATGTCAAAAGAAGGAAATGAGATAATGCATATAAAGGGCTAACTGTTGGTACCTGGCTTGTAGTGAGCACTTAATAAATATTAATTTGTTGTTGTTATTAATGAAATGATTTAGTTTCTAGTGATAGCTTGAGCTTGGTGAACTTGAGCAAGTTATTTCACCTCTGTGGGCTCTTACTTTATATAAAATGAGAGGATGGGTCTTGAGCCTTGTATTCCTTCCTACTCCACGATCCTACGATTCCTTTGACCCTAATGGGGTAATTCCACCTGCCACGGGGACCAATGTTAGGATGATCAGATGAGAGAGGTTGCCAAAAGTCTACCAGGCTTCTTCAAACCAAAGCCTGTCTGTCTCCTGGCCTAGATCCCAGGGCGGCGGCAGGAAGGGCTGTGGGGAGTTTGCCTGTAGGAGTAGCCTGGTAGGTAACCAATATTAAAGGAAGGAGTGCCAGGCCCTGAAGTCTACCTGAGAAACAGAGTCTGAGTTCCAAAGGAACAGGCATCGCTGAGTAGGGTAAATGTCTGCCCCAGACTGAGTCCTAGTAAGAAAAGTTGTGAGGTGACTCCGAGCTGAAAACGCGGTTTCTTGAGCTCTCTAAAGAGGCATTGTGGGCATTGGTTAAAGACCTGGCTGAAGAGCCAGGCTGCTTGACACTTTCCTAATGACGTACACACACTTAGTCTTCACAACAACCCAGAATCTTGGTTCTTCCACTTAGCAGCTCTGTGACCTTGGTCAAAGTACTTAACCTCCCTGGGCTTCACATTCCTCATTTGTGTAGCAGGGGTAGTAACATTAGTTCCCCCCACTGAGTTGTTGTGAAGACTAAGTGTATATGGGTCCTTAGGAAGGTGCCAGGCATATAAGTGTTATATAAGTGCTGGCTGCGAATATTTTTATGATATTGCTTTGGGCTTGGTATGCTGAGGACACCTTTGCACGGGGGAAGGCAGGTGGTCCCTGTAACGTTGCAGTAGAAACAGTCAGGAGCTTCCCCCGGAAGGTCTGGGGCATAGGTGGAGTTCCTATAAGACACTCTCTGGAGAGTCTCAGAAATGTGTGCAAAAGGCTTTTTGGATGGTCCCATAACAGTGGCAGAGTATACCAGAAAAATATAGTGTCTCACAAATTACTATAACCCCACATGCAGGGGCCTGAGGAAACTAAGTTTACCCCCTCATTATTCGGGATCGAATCCCCTCAAGTCGGATACCCCTGGATGGGCTAAACAGTAAATTGTCATCTGCCATTCAGCACAAATGAGTTTCTCAGATGAGCCAGTGTTTTAGCAGAACCCAAGGAAATGAGAACTAAAATTGGATGGGGCAGGCGGGTCCTAGCACGGGCTCTGTGTGGGACAGCAGGTGGGTGGGCCCTGGGTGGCAGACAAGAAGCTCTGAGTGTGTTTGGGGCATACGTGGGGATTGCAGAGAGCAAGGAGGCAAGCACCCGACAAAGGTGGCCTGCTTCAACCTCGGGTTGAAGCCCCTGGGTCCACCATTGACAGACTCTCCGTGGGCCACAGCCCACCAGGGCTGCACCTCATGCCCTCCCCTGGCCGACCGAGGTGGTCCTTCCCCGCGGAAGCCATCTCGACCGTGTGGGACTTGGCTGCCCCCTAACGGCCACTAGGCAGAAGTTCTTCTCTTGGAGAAAACGCGAAGATTTTACAACAGCATTTGGATAGCGCTTTTCAGTTAAAAGGCCCTGTCACAAATATGAGTGTAGCCTTTCTGCTGAGTACGCCTCCTAGCTCCCATAGTCTTCAGCCACTTGGAGCATATCTTCCCCCACCCGTCCCCAGCCACCTCCAACACTCCACCTTTCCGATTCCCTGGACTCATCTAGTTTTTCCTTATGGGTGGAGGAAAGGGTCCTGGAGCCTGGGGAGGACGGGGTGAGTTCTGACTCCTCCAGGGCCTTGGGTCCTTGCTCCAGCCAGAGGACTGGAGAGCACAGCTGGAAAATGGCAGCCCCTCCGCTCAGCTTGCCCACGCTCTCCCTTCTTCACACAGTGGTCCTGACCCCCTGGACACACCTCAGGCCTAGAATTGCTCTGAGTTGTCTTTGCTTCTGAGTTGCAAACCCCAGGAGTCTGCAACTTTCAGCTCCTCTCTAAAACGGACTCCATCCTCACTATCCCCCCCAAACCAGCACACATCCTGTCCTTTCTCTGCTGCTGTTTGAGGGGCTTACCGATTGTCCCCAGAGTGAAGGGGGCAGCAGACAATGAAACCTCCAACAGGGCAAATTACAGAGGTTCCCATACTTTCAAAGGTCTCACAGCCATGATCCCTCGTCTTTGGCTCCTAACTCTGCTGAGATCATTGAAAACCCCAAGGGTGAGGTTCAGATCCTCTTCCCTCCTCAGGAGCTCGGCCAAGATGCTCTCAGATCCAACAGTATTCTCCCTTGTGTGGAGTGTCCTAGAGGCCATTGCTGATTATCTTTCCGCAGGAAAAGGTAATCTGAGAGTCATACTGAATATTTTAAATGTTTGATGTGGTATGTGTTTTGGTTTTGGATGTGTTATTTTGAGAAACCACTTACCGATGTCTTGTTTGGGGCAGCATAAGCCAGCCATTAAAATGGTTTCATTCTGCGTATTAAACTTTGTTTCCCCAGGCAAGGCAATGCAGTTGAGCCAGTTGGGATGACGTCCTTCCTCTCAAAGTGAGACCTGGGAAGAATTAAGGCAATGAGAGGGGAGGATGCAATGGAGGAGAGCTGGGTCTGCTCTGATGGACAAGAGCTGGGCTAGGACCACGGGGGGACCGACTCCCAAGCACAGGATGGGATCACAGCAGTGGGCATGGCTTTCCTGATCCGATGGCACCCTGAGAGCCAGCCTGACCCCGTGAGCTTTGCCCCCCATGGAAGCCTCAGCAGGCTGGGGCCCAAGAAATGGGGAGGATGTAGGATGCTGAGAATGGACGTGAGAGGGAAGATGGGGGTGGAGGGGGTTGGTTCTACTTCCTTCTCTCTTAACGACCCCTAATATTTCAGCTTCTCTCCCCTGCCTGGTGTTGAGCATTCAGTTTCATTGGACCATAATAGGTGAGAAGAAAGAGAGGGATTTAAAATCCTTGAATTCCTCCAACTATTGCAGGAGCCATCAGAAACACCCACCAAGGGCTCACTTGCACTTGGATGCTTCCGAGTAGGGTGACAGCCACACACTTGCCCTCTCTGAGGAGAAACAACACCCCCTGAGATGGAAGAAACACTTGGGACCTAAAGGTAGCTGCATCAGCACAAGCTCGTTATCCACACTCTTCCCTTTTTTTGCAGCTCCCTCTGACTGTGCCAATATTGCCACAACTCTCTCCAGTCTTGTCTCAGACTTCCCGCTTCCTCTTTCCTGTGCTACCCCACTTTCCCTGAGTTCCCCAGTCTGGCAATGGGCACAGCCTCTCCCCACTCTGTGGCCCCTCCCCACCTCTCAGTCTTGGCCCCCTTAAGGGCTCCCCATTCTGTGAGCACCAAGGGTGCCCGGACTGTGCTAGGGGCTGGTAGAGGAAATTCCTATAGTACAATCTCTCTTACGAAGAAGCTGGTTGGGGAGGAGACTGGGGAGGGGTGGTCATAGGTCAGGAAAGAACTACAGGGACTTCCCTGGTGGCACAGTGGTTAAGAATCCGCCTGCCAATGCAGGGGACACGGGTTCGAGCCCTGGTCCGGGAAGATCCCACGTGCTGCGGAGCAACTAAGCCCGTGTGCCACAACTACTGAGCCCGGGTACCACAACTACTGAAGTCCGCGCGCGTAGAGTCCATGCTCTGCAACAAAGAGAAGCCACTGCAATGAGAAGCCCGCGCACCGCATCGTAGAGTAGCCCCCGCTCACCGCAACTAGAGAAAGCCCGCACGCAGCAATGAAGACCCAAGGCAGCCAAAAATAAATAAAAATTTTAAAAATTAAAAAAAAGAAAGAACTACAAAGCCTTGTCGTAAGTACTATCATAGAGGTTTATACAGATGGTCGCTTAATTTTTTAAATTCAGTCTTGGAAACAATATGCTCCCAATCCCTTTTTGTCCCTTTCCTTCCAGCTTGGGACACTTTTGAGAGAATGTGATGTTTGTTGCTGCAAACACACTGAAGATGACAGGGCAGAAAAATGGGAAAAGCCTGGTTTTTGATGGCAGCATTAAGCCATTGAATCAAGTCTGAAACCATCTATCTCCAGACTTTTTGTTAAGTAAATAAAAACATCCCCCTAGGGTTTAAGCTACTGTTAGTTGACTTTTTGGTTACTTGTAGCCCAAAGCATTATAACCAATACACATTTTCTTCCCTGAATGAGAGAAGAAAATTAAGGGGGATTTGGGGATGGACAAATCACAGTTCTAGTGACCAGTCTGGGCAAACCCAAGTTCTTCGTGGAAAGGGGCAGAAAATCCTGTGGTAGATGGGCCAACTTCACCTTTGTTTAACTTTCTCAGCCAATATTTATAGAGTGGCACCTACGTCCCGGGCATCAGGGTTAAGTTGCTGAGGCTAAAATCAAGAGCAAAACCACACACGGTCCCAGTTCTCATGAGGTTTAGAATCTAATGAGGGAGTAAGACATTAACCAAATAGTAATCCTAACAAGTAAACAATTAGAAGCTGAGCTAAGCACATGGAGGAAAGGAACAGATGCTGTGAGAACCTACAATACAATACATACAACAAAGCCTGGAAGCTGGGAAGACCTCCCTGAGAAAGCAATCTATCTATCTATAAGCTAGGAGCTGAAGGAGGAAGGGGACGGGTGAACCAGGCAGAAGCTAGTGAGGGCTGGGGATACTGGGAGCAGTGCATGCAAAGGCCCTGGGGCAGGAGGGAACCAGGCTGGTTTAGGAGCTCTGAGAGAAGCAGACTAGAGTTTAAGTGGGTTGAAAACTTTGCCTTCAGTGTCTCCCCAAATCTGGCCTACCAGTGTTCCCCATGATCCCCCCTGCTTCTTTGCTCATCCCACACTGCCCTTCAGGAACCCTGTGTCCTCAAGGCTCTTTGACTAAAGTTTGCACATTCTGGAACTCCACCCAGACCTGCCTTTCCCTCTAACCCCACCCTTCAAATGACCCTCTTCCCTATCAAAACCCCCTTTGCCTCCCCAAAAACCAATCTATCAAAGAATTTCTCCTATATTTTCTTCTTAAAAAAGAGTGAGAGGGCTTCCCTGATGGCACAGTGGTTGAGAATCTGCCTGCCAATGCAGGGGACACGGGTTCGAGCCCTGGTCTGGGAAGATCCCACATGCCGCGGAGCAACTGGGCCCGTGAGCCACAACTACTGAGCCTGCGCGTCTGGAGCCTGTGCTCCGCAACAAGAGAGGCCGCGATAGTGAGAGGCCCGCGCACCGCGATGAAGAGGGGCCCCCGCTTGCCACAACTAGAGAAAGCCCTCGCACAGAAACGAAGACCCAACACAGCCATAAATAAATAAATAAATAAATTTATTAAAAAAAAAAAAAAAAAGAGTGAGAGAGCAAGTGAATGAGATATTGAGAGAGAAAACCAGCCTGTCACTGTTGGAATTCAGACAGCAAGCAAATTTTAGGCAGGAGGCAGGCCCTGGACCTGGCACCTCCCACACACCCTCCTCCATAAGACACCAGTGGGCTCTGCATGGGAGATGCCTGGGGTGCAGTTCGGGCTCTCAGGGTGGGCCGGCTGCTCCCTTCCCTTCCTGGATACACCAGTAACTTCTCCTCCGCCATGGAACTCAGAGGTCTCTGTACCCAGGTTTCTCACTGCAACTGTGCCCGGGGCTTTCGGGGAGGGCTGGCCACCCTCTGAAGAACTGACTTCAAAAGGCCTAAGGAGCGGCAGTGTGGCCCAGTGGGAGGAGGCTGGCTTTGGAACTAGACAGCTCTGGGGCCTGACCTGGGCCATCACTAAGCTTTCTGAGCCACACTTGCCTCATCTGCAAAAAGGGAGGAAGATTATCTTCTTTACAGAGTTTCTGTGAGGATTAGAAATAAAAATGTATAAAAGAAGGAGAGAGAGGAGATTTTTAAACCTACGCTAGGGCTCAAGCACAAATCTAGTGTCCAGGAATTAGCATTCAGTCTCAATTTCAAATATTTTGCCCTATATGTCCACTCCCGTGTATTGGGCCCTGGGTCCTGAGTTTTTCTTTGGAAAGCAAGATGATCCCTGTAAGTCGAGATCTGCACAGTCCAATTTGCTAGCCACTGGTTACATGTGGCTACATAATTCTAACTGAAATAAAATGTAAACTTCAGTTCCACACCCTAGCCACATTTTAAGCGCTCAACAGCCATTAGGGGTATTGGACAGGGCAGATATAAAACATTTCCATCAGAAAAGAAAGTTCTATTGGATAACGCTGGCTTAGAGAAAAGGACCATGTGTAAACAGGAGGTCTACTTATTTTACTTGTCATCCCACTCCTGGACCAAGACACAGACTGGGACCAGCTGGTGGTTAGAGAAGCACTACATGCGTGCGATTGTGTCTGTGTGTGTGTGTGTGTGTGTGTGTGTGTGTGCACGCGCGCACATGCATGTGTGTATGGGTGGTGGACAGGCCAGGTGTCCAGCCCTCAGACTTTTAAGATGAGCTCAGTGACACCACTTGCAGGGCTTGAGCTGGTGGGTAAAGTCGCAGAATGAGAGCCCACCACAGAGGTCTCAAACCTGCCCCATCTGTGAGACAGCAAGGCTGGGGGCAGCGAGGAGGTCCCCACCCTGGAACCCAGTCCTGACTCGGACCCCAGGAGGAAGGACCTCTTGGTGTTAATTCTAAGGCAGAAGGGGAAGAAGGTGTGAGGCTACAAGATGCAAATGTGCAGCCCTTGGGGCACAGGGACATGTAACTCGGATAGCTACCTTGATTCAGGGGCTACGACAAGGAGCCGGAGGGTAAAACAAATACACTTCCCAAGAGTCTGCTCCAAAAAGGACACATGAGGAGGGGATTGAGTCATCCCAGGTCCCAGGGCTGGGCTGACCCACCCCAGGTCTGCCCTCCCTGGTTGCCTCTGGGTCTCACACACAAGCACTGCATCCTCTCAAGTTGACCATGGTCTTCAGGGAAATATGGACTGTTCCCCACCAGGCCTACTTCCCAGAGACCCTGACATCATAGGTGACAGGCTTCCTACCCAAGTCCACTTCCAGGAGCCGGCAATGTACTGAGCAGGCCACAACCACAAGGAGAAGCACCTCAAGGCACCCCAGAGCATTTCACGCCTGCAGACCAGGCAGCTCCCTGGGATTGTGCTACAGAGTTACCTGTCCTCCAAAATGCCTCCATCCCCTGCATTCTGTTATTCATTCAGAAGTCACTGGAGGGAGACGCAAGAGGGAGGAGATATGGGGATATATGTATACATATAGCTGATTCACCTTGTTATACAGCAGAAACCAACACACCATTGTAAAGCAATTATACTCCAATAAAGATGTTAAAAACAATTAAAAAAAGAAGTCACTGGAGGGATTTCCCTGGCAGGCCGGTAGTTGGGACTCTGTGCTTCCACTGCATGGGGCACAGGTTCAATCCCTGGTCGGGGAACTAAGATCCCGTGTGCAGAGCAGCGCAGCTAAAAATAGATAAAATAAAATATTACACGTTTAAAAAAAGAAAAAAAAGTATAAAAAAAAAGAGAAGTCTTTGGAGCACCAGGCCTCTGTGCTGCTCCATTCCTTGGGAGACCAGCTCCGTAGAATACAATACACTACCTCACTGCACCTCTGAGGTTACGAGCCCAGAGTTGGAGTCAGACCTGTATCACCTTGGCAAGTTACTTCCGTTTCTCTACCTGTACATGCAGAGAAAAACAGCAGCTACCCCACAGGTCCATTGGGATTAATGGACCACTTAGCATAGTACCCTAAATATGTCAGCTATCATTATTACTAGTAAGCTGTGGTTACACACAGCGCTGAGCCACAGCTCTGTCTGGGAGTAGCTGAAGGGGGCTTCAGTAGCTGAGGTGGGTCTGCGACAGGCAGGGTCATATGCTAGAGAGGGAAGTGGGGAGGACCATTCTGGGAGGAGGACAATTGTCTTGCCCAGTCCTTGGGGCTGCCTGCCTGACTGGGCTGACCCCTGAGCCTCCCCCACTTTTCCCTTCCTAAGCCAATCAAGAGACACCACAAGGGGTAAGAGGGAGAGAGGGAGGGAGGGAGGAGGTGGCCATGATCTGTGTCCTGGTTTGGGGTGGACACAAAGCTGAGGGCTGGATAGCTCACCACCGCATCTTCACATCTCTGGCCATAGCGTGTCCCCATCCCTGGAAAAGTGCCATGAGGGATCCAGGACTGTCCTCAATATAAGTTGCCTGGCGGTGGCCTCTAGAAAGAGAAGGCACAACTGCCCTCTTAGCACGGAGTACCCTGTCTTGTCATAGGAAGTGACGAGCAGGTCTGGTTGTCAGAATGACCTCAGAAACTCACTGTCTGTCTTTTTATCCTAATAATGACAACTAAAATTGTAACAGTGGCAGTAACGTTTAAAACCTGCAGTTTTTCTGGTATCAATTTCCTTATTGCTATGTTGATATCTCATTCATCCAGAATTCACTACCTGGCAACCTCACTCATGTGCAAAACAAAGTACAGAAACAGAAATCAGGTGAAGGAGGAAAAGCCTGGAGAAACTGAAATAGATATCACATGATGACAGCACTAATGCTTCTGGACGCCATTTATCCCTTTTCTTAAGCACCATCTAATAACCCGGGTTAGTTGTCTGAGTCTAATCAGATTGTAGGCAATTTATAGAGTAGCCGCTGGAGATGGGCACCCTGACAGCAAGAGAAGTGGCAGCCGGTAATAAGGGAGGAGAGAGAGAAACTATGAAAAGCAGACCACAAACCCATAAAGCACAGCAGTCTGGCTCTGTTTCAGAGGGCGTGTTTGACAGCATCTCTGCAGTTCCTGCATAATTCCATGCTCTTCCCAACGGGCTCAGAAGATACATCTCTAGAAGTCCAACGGGTGAGTGATGCAATGGTTAGCACTGTGTTCATATAGGGCCAACCCTCACCCATCCAGTCTCAAGCTCTCCCCGGCATTTCTGAGAGATGCAACATTACCTACTTCTTGTTACCACTTTTTTTTCCCCACTGAGGAGACAATCCAGAAGGAAGAGCCCTAGCCTGGTGTCTGGAGACCCGAGTCACCCGTCCACCCAACCGTTATTCTCTGAGCTCCTGCTATGGGGCTCCATTTCCTCCCCTGTAAAGTGAAGGTTGGTCTACGTAAGCTCTCAGACTGATAGTTCATGTTTTCAGGACGAGGCTGTTTGGGGCTGGGCAATAATGATCACTAACATTATCAAGGGCTGACCAGGCACAGGTGCTTTCTAAGTGCTTTACGTAGCTAAGCTTTAATCCTCCAAACAACCCTATGAGGCTCAGGTTAAGTGGCAAAGGGCCCAGCAATTGTTTTAATCCCTAGCTGTCAATGTCTTGAAATTCTTAATTTTTGAACCAGGAGCCCACCTTTTCATTTGGTATTGGGCCCTGCAAATTATGTTGCCGGTCTCCCCTCTAGAGTAGCTGAGTAATTGACAGTTGTGGTCCCTGACCGACGACAATAGCTAGCATCATCTGAGAGCTAGTCAGAAATGCAGAGTCCCAGGCCCGGCACAGCCCTCCGGAGTCAGATCTGCGCTTTTATCAAGATCAGATCCAGAGCCTGCAATCTCAATCGCTGTCGTCTGCTATTTCCTTCCATGTCCGCATTTACTGGAAACAGGAAAGACCTCAATTTCTGATCATCAAGTGAGGGGAGATTCACCTTGCTTCTGGGAAGTGGGCTTCTAAGGGTCCCAGATCCTAGAACAGCGTGGGCAGGCCCCCCGCACAGACTGTCAGCAGCGTCAGCTAATTCAGACGTTACACTGTCCCCAGGACCGGACTGGGGTGGGACTAGGACGGCGGCGCCAAGGAGCGGAGGGCGCAGAATTTAAGGAGGCACGCGCTCCCAGGTACTGATTCCGCAGCCGCACGGCTCTGATATGCGTGCCTCAGGTGAGAAAAGTGAAAAGTGAAAGCGAGGGGAAAGTGAGAAGTCTCGGTTAGCTGGCGCTTCCCCCACCGGTTCGGTGCCCGTCCGCGCTGTTCCGCAGGCGCGCGTGGGGCGCTTAGAAGAGCCAGGCTCCAGTCCTGGGGATTTCTGGTTAGAGCAGCTCGGTACAGGGTACGCCAAAAAAGAGCCTGATTGCTCAGAATCAGAATTCAATCCTTTCACCATCTCTTCTCATTTTTAACCCTAGGAAGCTGGCAGCAACCCTGTACCCCTCTGGTACCTTTAAGCTCACAGCTCTGCGTTGGAGATGGTTGGGGCTGCCTTCACCCGGCATCAGAGAACCCCTCCCGGGGCGGAGCTGGGTGCGTGGGGCCGGCGGCTTTTGTGCCCGCATGAGTGCAGGCGGGAGGCCAGGCTGGAGGTGGCTCACCTGAATTCAGCTCGAGCCATTCACAGCACCCGGGAGAGGCCAGAGACTCCCTGGGGCAGCGTCTAGTTGGGGCTCTGCATCAGCAAGGGCGCTGACCTTCAGCTGGCACCCATGGCTGCTGGAGTGGAGAGGGTCCTGCTGATGGGAGGGCTGAGAAACTTAGTGATTTTCCAGGGCCGAGGTTCCCAGAGCCGACATAACTTCAGAGCTTTTCCTCACCTGCAGAGATTTCTAAAATTAGGATTCTCCAGTCCACACACATCAGAATCTCCTGGAGATGGCCCCTGCTACTTTTGTATGAAGTAGAAAAAAGGTGCCCACTCTGAGCAGATGTGCCCTGCTGGGATGTGGCTTGGCAAGTGGATGGAGCCTTCAGGTGAAGAAACGCCCTCCCCTTAGGAGTGCAGCCCCGGGGGCTCGGAGATCTTGGACCGAGGGACACACATTGCCCTCGGCCCCATTTGCCCGCTTTATGCAGAATAAAACCTGCACTGCTGTGAGCCATGGACCTGGGTGGGGTTGGTGAAAGCCTTGCAGGTATTTCTGATGACTGGCCAATGGGAGTCTCTGAGGCCTGGAGAGTGGAGGTGATACATCTTGGCCAAACATGGCGCCATGGCCACTCACTTCCTGTGGGGCTCCTCAGACATTCTCAGGCCAAGGTTCTGCCCCTTTCTTTATTACCCACACAGAATAAACAAAAAGAAAGCCTAACCTCCAGGAATAACATTTAGGGAAGGGAGTGAAGGAGGGAAGAGGAAGGAAGGGGGAAGAGGAGGAGGGGAGGGCCCTTATCTACATTAAACAGGTCCAGCTCTGCCTGTGAGCACAGCTGAGTCATGCTAGGTGTCCTGCTCCACCCCCCACCACCTGGAAGTGAGACAGCCGCCAATGGGCATTTCTCCTTCAGGACTGGGTTCTGGGGGCTACACAGGCTTGCTGGTACTGGTGGCAGGGAGTCTGGGCTCTCCTCCACCAAAGGCTGGCTGAGCACCCTGGAGGGAGTGACACCCCTCTCAAGGTGTTCCAGCCTTTCCAGTGGAAAAGGGAGGTGAGTTCCAGGGTGTTAATGAGAGGGCACTCCACCCCTTCATGTCTGGGAGAGGTTCCGAGTCATGTAGTTCTTTTGGCATTGCCCTGTAGCATCCATTATGGTGAGAGTGGGCAGCTGGGATAGAGAGGTGGGTGTATCAGTTTTCACTAAGTTACACCATGGTAACAAGCAACCCCTCCCTTCAAACCTCAGTAATTACAACAACAAAGGCTTACTTCTCACTCACTCTGGCTGCAGCTCCCTTCCCAAGTTGTCTTCATTAATGGATCCAAGCTGTAGGAACAGCCCCTCTCTGGGTCACGCTGGGCTGTGGCACAGGGAAAGAGCAATGGTGGAACCAAGTGATGGTGCTTAAAGCGGCTGCTGGGATATGCAGCTGACGTTTCATTGGGCAAAGCAAGTCACGTGACCCATCCCAAGTCTCTTGCGTGTGACTTGGAGCAGGGACGTATGATTCTATCACAAGGATAGGGCAGTGAATAATCAGGAACAGTAATGCAATCTCCCACAGCGGGACCCTGACTTAGGCCAAGGGGATTCCTTCTAAGGAAGAGAGAACATCCTTTGGCCAAAGGAGACAGTATGAAGTGGTGAAAAGAAAAAGGCTTGGAATCAGACAGGTCTAGATTATAACCTAGACTCAGCCACATACTAGCTGTGTGATCTTGTCCAAGTTATTTATCTTCTCTGAATCTTCTTTTCCATCTACAGAATGGGTATAATACTTAGTTCACAGGGAAATTTTGAGGCTTAAATGAGATAGTAAATATTAAGTCTTTGGCACATAGTAGGAATACAGTAAATAAAAACTCCCTACTCTACTCCCTGCCCATCTTTTGTATCTTATCCATAACTCTGGAGGTATTTATTACCAAGACTCCATCTACTAACCTCACAGGGTTGGGATCAAGTGGAACAGAGAGAATTTATTGTGTCCTTACTACATACCAGGCACTGAACCACACAGTTTACCTTCATGATCTCACTTGTTTTGTCCAATAACCCTGTGAGGTAGGTACGATTATTACCCCATTTTATAGATGAGGAAAATAAGGATCAGAGAAGATAAGTAACTTGCCAAAGGTCATGCAGTGACAGAAATAGGATTTAAAGCCATGCTTTAGATTCCAGGACCCATGCTCTAGAGCAATGATTTTTGAGAGTGATTTGTTTGGTAGATAAGAAAAGAAACTGAGAGTAAGTTTGGGAACTTATGGCAGGTGGACATTGCCATGACATTCAAGCTAAAGCGAAATAGCCTTATTTCGCTGAACAGAATACAGACTAGTTTAGGTGATGTAGAAGTCTCTGGTAAGTTGCATGTGGTGGAGGCCATTCTAGTCATGCAAGTAGGACCACACAATTGTCTATGACTCAGAGGAAATGAAAATCGTTGGTCGTCACCACAGACGGCGTGAGGGGCAATGATCTGGAACACTGCATTCACTATGTGCTGGTGGGCCTGCCGGGTCAGCTGCGGCAGACCAGGGAAATATTTGTGGTTAATCAAAATGATACCTTGTTTACACTGATGGGTGAGGCCTGGGGGCAGGGTTTGTGTATTATCCATGGCAACTGGTTTGTGCCTTGTACACAGGATACACTCTATATGAGTCTCCTGCTCCAGTGAGTGAATGAATGAATTGATGGATGAATGAATGAATATGTTTCTCACTGTAAGAGGGCAATTTGATGGCCTTGGGCAAAGCCAAGGTTTGGGCAAAATTTCTCTTCCAACTTTTCCTGTTGCCTGCACTCTTAGCTCCTCCTAGAAATGTGGTACATTTCTAGAAAGCAGTTTGGCAACATGTGTCAAGAATTTTAAAAATTTATACGCTTTAACCTAAAATTAAGCCCTAGATATTTATCTGAAATAATCAGGGATGTAGCAAAATCTTTATGTATAGAGATATTTATCATAGCATCATTTACACAGTGAAACAGGAAATTCAACCTAAATGGAAATGATCAAATAAATACATTATGAAATAGGCATGATGAAATATTATGCAGCCATTAAAGTTATGTTTTTGAATTGTTTTTAATGATTTGATGAGATGCTTATTAGCTATGACAAATGGAAAAGGAAGGGTTTAAATTTTTAAAATAAAATTTAATAAAAATATATGTGCATGTAAAAATACTCATCATCTGTCTAGGTGATGGGATTTGAGTGGTTTTATCCTTTTGGGTATTTTCTAAACTTTCTATAATGAGCACAGATTATTTTTATGATCAGAAAAAATATAGAAAACATTGTTTAAAGTCTTTTCTGGTTTTGCAGACAGTCACTCCCTCACTGCAGTCCTGCTCTGATGCAGGACACTGCTGGGGGAAGTGCCCCTGCATTTGCCAGGAGCAAGCCTTACATGGTTAGCTTGTATTCTGGTCCTGGCTTTGCCACTAACTGGCTGTGGGACTGCGGACAAGTCATTTTATTTATCTGGGCTTTGGGGTCCTCATTTACAAAATGAGGTTACTGGATTAGATGATTTAAGAATTAAATTCTGATTCTGTGATTCTAACAAACTCACTGGGTCAAGGTATTCATTGTAAATAAGGCTTCATGATTTATCCTTTTCTAGTGTTAGTAAATGGGATTCTTAGCTATAGCTAAAGAAGTGACTCTCTAATGGTAGAATTTCACATCAGACTGTGAATCACCTACACCCAAATACTGACCTTATAGCTCTCTACAGCTTACACATTCTAGACATCAGCTGGCCCTTTTGAGAGAGTCAGAGTCCCTTCCACATCAGCCTCTGGCCCTGAAAGGGAGACGGGAGGTGTCTCTCTGGAAGAACAAGACAAGTTCCTTGGTCCCGAGTTTCCTTCCCTTCCCTGCTTCCTTCCTCCAGTCTCAAGCTCTTTCCCACTGTCTCTCTGCTTCCTCTATCTCCATCCTCTTCGCTGTGGTTGAGTCTGGTTTATGTTAGTGTAGTTCCCTGGTGGACTGGTGGCTCAGCTACCACAACCAGGGGAAGAGGGAGTGTGACTCATGCCCTGTGTCCAGTGAGTCAGACTTGGAGTGGGCTGGACCAGGGGCTTCCCTAGGACAGGAAGCAGGTTCTTAGTATGCAGAGGCCTTAGCTCCCTCCTAATACGGACGCTGCCAGGATAGAGGACCAATCTTTCTCCCTTTCCCATTTCTGTGAACTCATTCAGGAACCCCTCTTGCCAAAGAAAATGCCACCTCTTCTAAGCCTCAGAAGGTTGTGTCTGGGTAAGGCCAAAACTGCCTCTGTGCCAAATGACTGCCCCCCAGCATCCGAGAAGAAGAAGGAGAATAACAGACCATAGCTAGAGCCAAAGAGGATAAGAATTTCCCATTCCAGTCTCTCATGTCCTGGGTTTGAGCCTAGGAAGTTTTCACAGCTCCGATTATCCTTTCCTCCTCTTCCCAGCTCTTGACATGAGAAACAAGTGCATTCACACTGCCCTGGGGTTAAAATCCAAGTTTGTGTGACCTTGGGCAAGTTATTTAACTGCTTCAAGTTTCAGTTTCCTTGGCTGGAAAGAATGAGATAATAAACTCACCTCATGGCATGTTGTGCATTAAATAGAACCCAGCACCCAATACAGGCCTGGCTTTAGAAGGTGCTGAGTCGACGTTCAGTCTGCAATGGAGTGGAAGCCCCATTGCTTTTGGACTCCTCTGAGATCCAAAAGTCGCTTTTTGCAGAAGGCTGAAATGGGCCATTTCCAGGGCACGGGAGCCCGTTGTGCTTTGGGAGTGGGCTCCAGCCTGGGTCTGAAAGGCAGTCAGGGGCACCATCTCCCAATCTAGAGCTTTCTCTTCCCTTTGAGGCATCTGGGGCTTTCCCCCTTCCTGGTGAACAGTCCTAACAGGGCCCTTCACACTGCAGGGCAAACAAGGAATAAACTGACCTTCTCCTAAGGACTACCAGACAGGATCAGTTTTACTGATGCTTCCTTTTGTTTCCGACTCCAATATGGCTTGTTGTCCATCCATCCAGTCCTCACTTAAATTTGTGACATTCTGTTCATCATGGATTTTTTTTTGCATTAATTTTTACTAAAATTTGAAAAAATATTTAACATATTTTAAAACATTGCATTAAAATATTATTTATCTTGATTACTGAGCTCCTTGGCACTCCCTTAACTTTTGCCCCTAATGATGGAAACTTCAGCTCTAACTTTTTGAGGGGAGAGGTGTATTTTGGGGACCGACTGTGCCTGCTTCCTTAAACCTGTGACCTTGCTAATGGGAACTTTTCTCTGCCCCCACCAGAGGCCAGGATAAAGCTCCCAGCCTGGTTCCAACTCCTCCACTCTCCCACCCCCATTTCCATGGAGCTCAGGAATGACCCCAAATCTTTGAAATCCTTTCGGTTCAGCTTAATTCCGTTAAGTATTAGTCAACAGCAATATACTAAGTGCCAGGCAAGTACCTGGTTAAGGCTGGGAGTGGAGGAAGATGGGCAAAGACGGGAAGAGTCAGAGGCGCAGAGCGCGCTGGGGGAACCTGGATGGAGAGAGCCTGGGCGGGGGAGGCTCCGGGAGGCGACACGGGGGCGGCCCTCCCCTGAGGACTAACCACGAACCTTAGGGCACCTTCGGCGGGGAGACCACGTCAGAAATCCCGTCCGGGACTGACTTCCTGCCCGGGAGGCCCCGCGGCCTCGGGCTCTGGGCGCGGGCCAGCGGGGCGGCGCCGGCGCCGGATCGGAGGCGCTTCCTGGGCGCAGCGCGCGCCGAGCTGCGCGCGGAGGAGCGGGAGCGCGGGACGGCGCACCGGGGAGGGCGCGCTGGCGGCGACATGGAGGACGGCGTGCTCAAGGAGGGCTTCCTCGTCAAGAGGGTGAGCGCAACGGAGCCTCTCCGGACACGGCCCGGGGCGGGCCCGCGGCGGGCGCCGGCTCACCTGAGCCGCGGTCGGCCGGCCTGGGGCCACGCTGGGCGGAGACGCGTGTAGTAGGGAAAGACGGGTGGACGGTGGTTGGGGGTGAGCTTTAGATAGAAAAGAGGAGCCAGGGCACAGGCGAGGAGGAGAATCCCGCTTGGCTAGGGCGTGTGGGGTGCAGGGGGCGGCTACTCGTAGTGGACAGCTTAATTAAAACAACTTACGAAAATACGAAGCGTATAGGATTTAAATATGATGTATTAAAACAACGAAAGTGTGTTCGGTAGTCCCCAGCGCCCGTCCAGTTAATGCATCATCTCCTACATTCTTCACAATAACCCGTGAGGGAGGAGGAAGCTTATGTTTCTTAAGCCCCTATTGTGCACCAGTCCTGGACGTTGTCTCCTTTAATCCTCCCAACAGTCCGACAGGTTGGTGGTACCACATTACCCACCCACCCCCGTTTCTTCAAGGGGAAAACAAAGCTCCAAGAGGTTAAGTAACTCAGGATCTGGACTAGTGGGTGATGGAACAGGATCAAACCCACTCAGGCTGACTCCAAACCGTTTTCTGCCCACTGCAGGGTGGGTATTGTTATTCCTGTATTACAGATGAGGAAACAGGGGTAGAAAGATGAGAGCGCTTGCCCAGAGCCCCAGGGCTAATAACAGCCGGGACTGGAACCTCCATCCTCATTTCTTCCACATCACCCCATGTGGCCTTTCCCACAGCAAGCAAGAGTCCAGACAAAAGCTCAACATATAGGGAGGGCTTCCCTGGTGGTGCAGTGGTTGAGAGTCCGCCTGCCGCTGCAGGGGACATGGGTTCGTGCCCCGGTCGGGGAGGATCCCACATGCCACAGAGCGGCTGGGCCCGTGAGCCATGGCCGCTGAGCCTGCGTGTCCGGAGCCTGTGCTCCGCAACGGGAGAGGCCACAACAGTGAGAAGCCCGCGTACCGCAAAAAAAAAAAAAAAAAGTAGAAAATGAATGAAAAAGCAGCTGCAAGAGGAAATTAGATTTTTAAAAGTTCTTTTAACATTGATGTTCACACGAAACATTTATGCTAACCCTAAGAGCAGAGCATAAAATCTGGGGATGAGCCTTTTGGCTCTTCTGAGTTTATAGCTTTGGGAGGGAGATGGATGAAGAGGGATGAAGGGACTTGGCCTACCCTGGCCACCAGATCAACCCTGAGGTCTCAAGTCACTTTCTGTTCAATAGGTAATGCAGCCATGTTATTTTACACACTGTTTGACATAGGAGGGCGGGTGTGTTGTTTGCTCAAAACTGTAAGCAGGAGGTGTAGGAGGCTGTGCCGGATCAAGGGTCAGAGTGGATACAAGCAGGTACAAAATTCCACGCCTGTTCCATGCCACTGGGATTAAAGTGATAGGCTGGTCCCTCACAGTTTGTGGAGGCAGCTGCACCTCAGAGAGACCACCTATGGGGAGCTTTTCCTGCAGCTTATAAGGTGAGAGGGAGAGGGGTTTGGGCAGGGGTTTTGATGGGCATTGTTGATTGCTGGGATAGCCGAGCCCTGGTAGGGGCCTGTTGAGGACAAGCCCTCGCAGAGGGGCCCTTTGGGGCGTCCCCTTGTTCCTGGGGGTTACCTTATATGATTCCCCACCAACATCACCACCACGCAGAGTCAGGGGAGGGCTGGAGGGAAGGAAGGATGTGAGTTCTCTTCCAGATGGGCCACCCAGTCCAGGGTGGCAGCTTAAGGAGTATAGGGTACAGGGAAGTGAGGACAGTCAACCAGGTCTGGCCCCAAGAGCCCACCGAGGGCCTTGGCTGAAATACCTGAAGCACATTCCAGCCAAACCCAAAGACAAGAGTTTGGAGCTGGAGCCTGACCCTGAGGCAAGCGGAAGCCACACCCTTTCCTACAAGGCAGGGATGGGGCCCCTGCCCCTGCTAACTGTCCCTGCCCACTGATCAGTCGGACTTTTCCTCTCCCCCATTTCCCCTCTCCTCCTGGATGGCAACAGCAGCCCCCGTGGCCACTGGAGAAGGTGCAAGGCTACGACGGGGGGATTCCACAGATTCAGGGGGGGTTTACGGTCCAGAAGTGGGGCAGGGCCCAAGCTGGAAACCCAGCATACAGAACAGTCGTCACCAGTGAGGGCAAAGCAGGAGACGGGCAGGGACATGATGGATTTGGCTCTTAATCCAGCCCAGACAAGAAAGAAGCAAAGCTCCCGACAGAAATGCAGAATGCTCACTTGGCCTGGCTTTAGAAGGAGGGTGAGGGGGAAGGAAGGCGGATCTGCGTGGGTAGGACTGCTTGTGCTTTAAGCAGCAGCTGAAGCACTGAATCAGGCATTGCTGCCTGGCTTGTACCTCAGAAACAACACTCAGAAAATGACATGGCTGTGTCGACACGCTTTGGCCTAGAAAGTTCATTTGTAGGACTCTATCCCCAGGAAATGCCATACAAGCTTAGGAACAAAGTGTTATTTCTGTAGTGAAAAAACTGGAAACTACCTATATGTCCCCCCAAATAAACAAATGATTACAAGTGAATTTTAGTTATGCAGATGTTAAAAATGTTTATAATATTATAATCCAAAGAGTAAAAATATAAATGGTATGAGTAAGGAAAAAATTTGCTTGGAAGAAAAAAGCAAGAAGGCTAGAAGAAGTTTCGAAAGCTAAAGGTCTCACATCGAGGTGTTCGCAGGGCCATACTCCTTCTGAAACCTGCAGGGGAGAATCCTTTGTCGCTTTTGTTTCTTGTATTCGCAGGCTGTAAAGGAAACACGCAGGTTTTTCCTTCCTGTGTAGGAAAAACCTAGCTCTTCCCCACTGTGTGTTTCTCTATCCTGTGGGGTTCCTTTACTTTTACACAGAACACTTCACTTCTGACTCTTCTAGTCACCAAATGTGTGGAGGTTTTTCCCTACACCAAGCAATTCTCTGCAACACCCAGTGTGTGTCCTACAATTTAACTCAAGGCTGACGCTATCTACTCAGAGACGGCGTTAGATCCCACAGCATGAGAGCTCAGTCCTACAAGACTGCTTCCCCAGCCCTCCTCCATGCCCCAACACACACACACACTTCAGACACCAGTCAAAAGCCCAGGTTGTCACCTGTACTCTGACCAACTGCCTATAGATCAGAGGTTCCAGGGAAACACTTAACTTATGTTTACCAGCTTATTAAAGAATGTGATAAAGGAAAGAAATGAGCATCCGGATGGAAGAGATGTGTAGGGCAAGGTATGTGGGAAGGGGCCCAGAGCTTCTGTGCCCTCTCCGAGTGTACCACTCTCCCAGCACCCCCGTGTGTCCCCCAACCTGGAAACTCTCCAAATCCCATATTTCTGGGACCTTATGGAGGTGTCATCATGTAAGCATGATAGATTGTTAACTCCATTTCCAGCCCTTCTCTTTTCTCAAGAGAATGGGAAGGGGGGCTGAAAATTCCAAGCTTCTAATCATGGTGTGGTCTTTCCAGTGACCAGCCCTCACCCAGGAGCCCACCTGGAGTTGCCTCATTAGCACAAAAGATACTCCTGTCACCCAGGAAATTACAGGGGGTTCAGGAGCTCTGTACCAAGAACCGGGGGCAGAGAGCAATATATTGCATTTTCTGTTATCTCACACAGGCACTCCTTGCTGTTCCTTGAGTTGTAGATGCATAATCCTATCTCTGCCTCCATCATCACATGACTGTCTTCTCCCTGTGTGTCTTTCAGTGTCCAAATTTTCCTCTTCATATAAGGACACCAATCATATTAGTGTTATTAGGGCCACCCTAGTGTAGTATGACCTCATCTTAACCTGATTACATCTGCAAAGACCCTATTTCCAAATAAGATCACATTCACAGTTCCCTGGGGTTAAGACTTCAATGTATCTTTTGGGGGGACATAATTCAACCCACAACACATACCATCTCTGCTTCTTTGGGGTTGTAGGGTCTTGGGCAAGACCTTTCTGGGTCTCAGTTTCCTCATCATTAAAGTTAGGGAGTATAGTATAGGCTTTTTCAAAGGGTCCTCCAGCTGTAACATTCTGTGCTTTTTTTTTTTCAATTTTTATTTATTTATTTAATTTTTATTTTTGGCTGCGTTGGGTCTTTGTTGCTGTGCACAGGCTTTCTCTAGTTGCAGAGAGAAGCTAGTGGAGGCTACTTTTCATTGCGGTGCGTGGGCTTCTTATTGTGGTGGCTTCTCTTTGTTGCGGAGCTCTAGGTGTACGGGCTACAGTAGTTGTGGCACACGGGCTCAGTAGTTGTGGCACACAGGCTCAGTAGTTGTGGCTTGTGGGCTCTAGAGCACAGGCTCAGTAGTTGTGGCACATGGGCTTAGTTGCTCCGCGGCATGTGGGATCTTCCCGGACCAGGGCTTGAACCCGTGTCTCCTGCATTGGCAGGCGGATTCTTAACCATTGTGCCACCAGAGAAGTTCCATTCTGCGCTTCTTAAGCCCAGTCCTAGGGTCACGTCCCAGCTTATGGAATCTCCTCCTTCCCCCTAAGGGGGCTCTAAGCCATTCATGGTCCAACTGGCCTCTGGTCCCAGTCAGCCACTTACAGACAAGGGGCCTGGAGAGGGAGGCAGATTCCCAGGTGAAGGGAAGCCTGGGTTCTTTTTCAGCTTATACCACTGTCCTTTTGGCCTCTGGCACCATTTGCCTGCTGATTTTGGATGAGTCCCTTATGCTGTCTGATATGGCGAAGCTTATCTGAGAAGCAGGGATAAGGGGGCTTTCCTTCTCATTTTGTGGGTTATTACAGTAACCTCCAGCCGAGCTGGCTGCTCTAGTCTGGCCGACCTTACTCAGTTGTTCTGCTCAGGTGTGGTCGGTTGATCCTTTTAACATGAGAACCTATGCTTGTCATCCTTCTGCTTAAGTCTTCAGGGACTCCCCTCCGGCCCCAGCGAAGTCACCAGCTGCTCCGAGTTTTCTACCTACGTAGTAGATTCTATCTCATCAGCCTTTCTTCGATTGCTCTCCTTTGCTGTCAGTCTGGATTCTTGGCTGCTCATAACACGGTCCACTCTAGCAAGTTTCAACGGAAGGGATTTCATAGAGAATAATAAATATCAAGTAACTCAGGAATATTTGGGAGGGCTGGGTGCCACACAGCCAGAGATGAGGCAGCCAGACCAAAATACCCAACAGCACCACCAGACGTTTCTTGTGGAAGCGTCACTGCCGCCACTGTTTGCCACTTGTCCCTGGTAACTCTGGGGATTGGGTGTCAGAAGAACCTGTCCTTCCACCACTGTCCTGCCACCTTGGTGGCTGCCAAACATGCATCAATGCCCATGCACAGGACTGGCAGCAACCTGGCCACCTCCCTGTTCCTTCCTGCCGTCGATTCTGGGAAATGTAGCATTTTGTCCAGGAAACGTAGCCCTATCTCTATTGGTTTGTTCTGCTCAACAGGTGTTGGTTACACTTTTCTCCCTAACATCTCCAGGCCCCTTTCTCCTTTCCGGTTGTTTTAGTTTATTAGGGCTGCTGTAACAAAATACCACAGACAGGACCACCTAAACAACACATTTATCGTCTTGCAGTTCTGGAGGTCGGAGTCTAAGGTCAAGTTGTTGGCAGGCTTGGTTTCCTCTGAGGCCTCTCTCCTCGGCTGGTACGTGGCGCCTCTTGCTGTGTGCTCACATGGCCTTTCCTCTGCGTGCACGCCTCCCTGACATCTGTGTGTCCAAATTTCCTCTCCTTGTGAAGACCCCGGTCAGGTTGGATTAAGGCCCAACTAATGGCCTTATTTAACCTCATCACCCCTTTAAAGGCCCTGTCTCCAAATACAGTCACATTCTAAGGTAGTAGGGGGTTAGGGCTTCAACATATGAATGGGGAGGGGGGGATAATTCAGCTCAGAACACCTATGTTTTAAGGTTTAAGACTATTTTGCCCCCTCCCCTTCTCCACCTCACACTGGCCCCCATGCCGGAGCCACACCTGTGTGCCAGCAACTGCCTTTACTGCTAATGCTGTGCCAGGACCCCCTCAGCAGGGATTGCTGGGCGAGGGGACTTGAGTCTGGGCCATGTGGTCTGGTGTAGACCAGTGCTCACACAGTCGACTCCTTCGACAATTTGCGGTTCCCTAACACAGTCAGTACACGCACGCTGAGCGCGGAACAGAATTGCAGCACCACAGGTATGAGAACTGAAGGGGCCTTTGAAATTAATAAATGCTGGGTCAGGAAACCAGTGAATCGGGGACAGTCTCTGAATCAGATAAAGTGCATCTCTCTTGGTTAGAATACAGCCCTAATTGGGCTCTGCTCTGGGAAACATGCCAAGAAAGTCACTTTCATGAGCGTGTACAAAATCATTTCATTCTGATTCTTCAGCAGACATTCTCCCATCCACTGTTCTGTTCTAGAAACGGACTCTCTGCCTTCACCTGACTATCCTGTCCACTGGCTCCATGACCCACCTGAGAGCCCCCCAAACTCCCCTGCCTTTTAGGCCTGTCACAGAAGGCTAGGTAAAAATGTTAGGGTCCTTAACAATTTGTGGCTTCAACTTTACAAATTGCCCACATCCTTCAACTAACAATATTCTTTTTTCGGAATATATCCTAAGGAAAAAAAATTAAGGGATGCAGATCAAAATTTATGTGCAAGGATATTCATTGCAGAGTTGTTTATAATAGTGAAAAAAAAACAACCTCAGTTACAACAGGAGATGGACAAGAAAATGATGCATCCACCTAGTGGTCATTAAAAGACATGTTTTAAAGAAATTTAATGGTGTGAGACGATGCTTGGCAAAATCAGCAAAAGAAAAACTAGAAAATAAAACTCATGTATGTAATATCCTGATTTTTAAAAAAACTAGAAAGTAAAAACTAAAAGGGAAAAAGACTGGAAGGAAATACAAAATGTTAACAATGGCTGTCTCCCAGTAGCAGGATCTTTTCTTCTGTTGACTTTGCAGTTTCTTTCGAGGCTTATTATAACCAGAAAAAAAGAACAGATGGGAACTAGAAAGTCAATGCCAAAGGTGTTTGTTACATACTCAAAAGAGATGACAAAGAGATCCAAAGCTCATGCTTTCTTCATGAAAATGAAAATAAAACATGTGATTCTGAACTGGATCCTTTGGCAATTAAGGACATTATTGGGGTAATTGGTGAAACTTGAATGGAGTTTGTGGAACAGATGAAAATAATATATTCATGTAAATTTCCTAATGTTGATTGTATTGTGGTTATGTTGGAAATACCCTTTTTAGTTTTTGGTAGGAGTACACAATAAAATACTGAGAAGTGATTGGAGCTTCATCATGTTAAAAACTAACTCTTAATTGCTTTTGTAAAAAAAATTTATAATTTTCTTCAGCTTTTCTCTGAATTGAAACTATTTCAAAGTAAAAAAATAAAATTAAGCTAAAAAAGAGAGATAATTCTGTCCCCTTATTGGAGAGTTGATCCCATGGCACAGTCTGGTCACCTGTGCCATGGGCCACCTCTCCCTGGACACCACGTTGTCCCCTCGGCCACCTCACCTCAGGGTTCTCCTGTCTGTCCTCAGGGTCACATTGTCCACAACTGGAAGGTGCGATGGTTCATCCTTCGGCAGAACACGTTGCTGTACTACAAGCTCGAGGGGGGTCGGAAAGTGATCCCCCCCAAGGGCCGCATCCTGCTGGATGGCTGCACCATCACCTGCCCCTGCCTGGAGTATGAAAACCGACCAGTAAGTGAAGGCCCCCGCTTCCCAGCTCCTCCCTCCCACTCCCTGGACCCTCCCGTCTCTGGCCTCTTTGGTGAAGGTGGTGTGGGACATGGGAAGAGCTGAGTTACTGAAAAACCTGGACTCAAATCCTGGCTGCATCACGTACCAGGCATGTGACCTTGGGCAAGTAATTGCATCTCTCCGAGCCTTAGTCCCTCATCTATAAAATGGGATAAAATAATGACACCTGACTCTCACGACTGTGATGAGAATCATGAAGGTAACGGTGGGTCAAAACACCTTGTAGGCTAGGAGACACTACACAAATGTGAATAATTACTGCTACTTGGGGTTCAGTAGGATGACTTTCATCCCCCGAGGGGCACATGTTCCAAAAGTTTGGGGCAGCTTCAACTCTACCATCAGAAACGAATCTGAATTAATCATTTACTGAGGGCCCATTAAGTACCAAGAAATTTGCTGGGCTTGGAGGTGTCAAGGAAGAAAATGGTAAGATTGCTTCTTTCAGTTAATGATCTTATTATGAAAGCAAGTGATTAACAGAAAAACATTCAGAGTTCCAAATGTTGGTACAAACATTATTAGCCGCAGAGAACACTGTATTGCTGAAGGGGAGGAAAATGCCATCATAGGCTGTCTGCTCAGGTACAGCTTTGAGGGGGATAGAGGTTTGGGCAAAGATCTGAAAGAGGAAAGAGGCAGAGGTTCCAGGCAGGTAGAAGGTCTTGGGTAAAAGTGGAGGGACAGGTAGGGATAAATTTAGAGATCAGGATGGGCATTGTGGCCAAAGGGTATGTTCAATGAAGGAGTGGTGGGAGATTGGCTGGGGCCAGGTACAGGTAATAGGGAGCCATTGAAGGTCTTGACTGAGAGAAGGGGCTGGTGAAAACTCTCTTAGGAAGACCAAAATGAACACCTAAGCTCAGTTCCTAATAAGATAACTAGTTCCATAAAGAAGGGGTCTTACTATTTTCTTCTTTCTTATCATGTTTTTCTTCTCTGACTCTTCTAGACAAATTGATGAATCTTCTAAGTATAAGAAAATATTAATGACAGTCAATTCTGGGTAATGGGTTTACTCGTGTTTGTTTTGTACTCCTTTATAGTTTAAAATTTTTCTCAAATAGGAAACAAAAGGAGCTGTAAAAATCAGGCATGAAATGAGGCAGAAAGAAGGGATGAACCTGAGGAGACATTATGAAGGAAACATTGACAGGACATCGTTGACTGGATGTTGAGGGCAAGGGAGAGAGAGGCATTGAATATCATTCCAGCCTAAGAGGCTGCAAAAGTGAAATGTCATTCTGTAATTTCCACTGCAAACCTGGAAATGCCACTGATTAAAAGAGATGGCGTAGCTCTCCATGGGGGTGGGATGGGACTGCTGGGGAGTGCTGAGCCTGGTAAGAGACTTGGGTCTGCATCTTCTTCCTTGTAGCATCATCAGACCAGACACAATGTCTGGGCACATAGCAGATGCTTAGTAAATGTTTGTTGAATAAATGGTTAATAAAAAAGAAAGATTTACAGATAAGTGAGACAGTTCTAAGAAGACAACCTAGTTTTCTAGGTGCATTTAAGACTCTGGGTTTCAATAAATTAAACCTTGGAACTTGTAGGTTAACTTTTGCTTGGGGGTGGTAATTTTTAAAAATTGGAGTATAATTGCTTTACAATGTTGTGTTAGTTTCTGCTGTACAACGAAGTGAATCAGCTATATGTATACGTGTATCCCCTCCCTCTTGGACCTCTCTCCCACCCCCCCATCCCATCCATCTAGGTCGTCACAGAACACCAAGCTGAGCTTCCTGTGCTTTATAGCATGTTCCCACTAGCTATCTATTTTACACATGGTGGTGTATATATGTCAGTCCTAATCTCCCAGTTCATCCCACTCTCCCCTTCCCGCCCCGTGTCCACATGTCTGATCTCTATGTCTGTGTCTCTATTCTAGAGTCCACGTATATGCATTAATATACAATATTTGTTTTTCTCTTTCTGACTTATTTCACTCTGTATGACAGACTCTAGGTCTATCCACATCTCTACAAATGACCCAATTTCGTTCTTTTTTATGGCTGAGTAATGTTCCATTGTATATATGCTGCCCATCTTCTTTATCCATTCATCTGCTTATGGACATTTAGGTTGCTTGCATGTCCTGGCTATTGTAAATAGTGCTGCAATACACATTGGGGTACATGTGCCTTTTTGAATTATGGTTTTCTCGGGGTATAAGCCCAGCAGTGGGATTGCTGAGTCATATGGTAGTTCTATTTTTAGTTTTTTAAGGAACCTCCATACTGTTCTTCATAGTGACTGTATCAATTTACATTCCCACCAACAGTGCAAGAGGGTTCCCTTTTCTCCACACCCTCTCCACTGTCTACTGTTTGTAGATTTTCTGATGATGGCCATTCTGACTGGTGTGAGGTGATACCTCATTGCAGTTTTGATTTGCATTTCTCTAATAATTAGTGATGTTGAGCATTTTTCATGTTCCTCTTGGCTATCTGTATGTCTTCTTTGGAGAAATGTCTATTTAGGTCTTCTGCCCATTTTTGGATTGGGTTGTCTGTTTTTCTGATATTGAGCTGCATGAGCTGTTTGTATATTTTGGAGATTAATCCTTTGTCAGTTGCTTCATTTGCAAATATTTTCTCCCATTCTGAGGGTTGTCTTTTCATCTTGTTTATGGTTTCCTTTGCTGTGCAAAAGCTTTTAAGTTTAATTAGGTCCCATTTGTTTATTTTTCTTTTAATTTTCATTACTCTAGTAACGGTCAGAAAAGATCTTGCTGTGATTTATGTCAAAGAGTGTTTTTCCTATGTTTTCCTCTAAGAGTTTTATAGTGCCCAGCCTTACATTTAGGTCTTTAATCCATTTTGAGTTTACTTTTGTGTATGGTGTTAGGTAGGGTTCTAATTTCATTCTTTTACATATAGCTTTCCAGTTTTCCCAGCAAAGAGACTGTCTTTTCTCTGTTATATATTCTTGCCTCCTTTTCATAGATTAGTTGCCCTTAGGTGCGTGGGTTTATCTCTGGGCTTTCTATCCTGTACCATTGATCTATATTTCTGTTTTTGTGCCAGTACCACACTGTCTTGATTACTGTAGCTTTGTAGTATAGTCTGAAGTCAGGGAGCCTGATTCCTCCAACTGCATTTTTCTTTCTCAAGATTGCTTTGGCTGTTCGAGGTCTTTTGTGTTTCCATACAAACTGTAATTTTTATTCTAATTCTGTGAAAAATGTCACTGGTAATTTGATAGGGATTGCATTGAATCTGTAGATTGCTTTGGGTAGTATTGTCATTTTCACAATATTGATTCTTCTAATCCAAGAACACAGTATATCTCTGCATCTGTTTGTGTCATCTTTGATTTATTTCATCAGTGTTTTATAGTTTTCTGAGTACAGGTCTTTTGCGTTGTTAGGTAGGTTTATTCCTAGGTATTTTATTCTTTTTGTTGCGATGGTAAATGGGATTGTTTCCTTAATTTTTCTTTCTGATCTTTCATTGTTAGTGTTTAGGAATGCAAGAGATTTCTGTACATTAATTTTGTATCCTGTAGCTCTACCAAATTCACTGCTTAGCTCTAGTGGTTTTCTGGTGGCATCTTTAGGATTTGCTATGTATAATATCATATTATCTGCAAACAGTGATGGCTTTACTTCTTCTTTTCCAATTTGTATTCCTTTTATTTCTTTTTCTTCTCTGATTGCCATGGCTAGGACTTCCAAAACTATGTTGAATAAGAGTGGCGAGAGTGGACAGCCTTGACTTGTTCCTGATCCTAGAGAAAATGCTTTCAGTTTTTCTCCATTGACAATGATGTCTGCTGTGGGTTTGTCATATATAGCCTTTATTATGTTGAGGTAGGTTCCCTCCATGCCCACTTTCTGGAGAGTTTATCATAAATTGTTGTTGAATTTTTTCAAAAGCTTTTTCTGCATCTATTGAGATGATCCTATGGTTTTTATTCTTTAATTTGTTAATATGGTGTGTCACATTGCCTGATTTGCATATATTGAAGAATCCTTGCATCCCTGGGATAAATCCCACTTGATCATGGTGTATGATCCTTTTAATGTGTTGTTGGTTTCTGTTTGCTAGAATTTTGTTGAGGATTTTTGCATCTATATTCATCGGTGATATTGGTCTGTAATTTTCTTTTTTGTGTGTGATATCTTTGTCTCGTTTTGGTATCAGGGTGATGATGGCCTCGTAGAATGAGTTTGGGAGTGTTCCTCCCTCTGCAATTTTTTGGAAGAGTTTGAGAAGTATAGGTGAGCTCTTCTCTAAATGTTTGATAGAATTAGTCTGTGAAGCAATCTGGTCCTGGACTTTTATTTGCTGGGAGATTTTTAAATTACAGTTTCAATTTCATTACTTGTGATTGGTCTGTTTATATTTTCTAATTCTTCCTGGTTCAATCTTGGAAAGTTGTACCTTTCCAAGAATTTCTCCATGTTTTCCAGGTTGTCCATATTATTGGCATATAGTTGCTTGTAGTAGTCTTTTATAATCCTTTGTATTTCTGTGGTGTCAGTTGTAATTTCTCCTTTTTCATTTCTAATTTTATTGATTTGAAACCTCTCCCTTTTTTTCCTTGGTGAGTCTGGCTAAAGGTTTATCAATTTTGTTTATCTTCTCAAAGAACCAACTTTTTTGATCTTTGCTATAGTTTTCTTCATTTCTATTTCATTTATTTCTGTTCTGATCTTTATGATTTCTTTCCTTCTACTAACTTTGGGTTTTTTTGTTCTTCTCTCTCTGGTTGCTTTAGGTGTAAGGTTAGATTGTTTAGATTGTTAGATTGTTAGATTGTTAAATTGTTAGATTGTTTATTTGAGATTTTTCTTATTTCCTGAGGTGAGATTGAATTGCTATAAACTTCCCTCTTAGAACTGCTTTTGCTGCATCCCATAGGTTTTGCGTTGTTGTGCTTTCATTGTCATTTGTTTCTATGTATTTTTTAATTTCGTCTTTGATTTCTTCAGTGATCTCTTGGTTATTTAGTAGTGTATTGTTTAGCCTCCATGTGTTTGTGTTTTTTACAGTTTTTTTCCTGTAATTGACTTCTAATTTCATAGCGTTGTGGTCAGAAAAGATGCTTGATACGATTTCAGTTTTCTTAAATTTTCCAAGGCTTGATTTGTGACCCAGGATGTGATCTATCCTGGAGAATGTTCCATGTGTACTTGAGAAGAAAGTGTATTTTGCCGCTTTTGAGTGGAATGTCCTATAAATATCAATTAAATCTATCTGGTCTATTGTGTCATTTAAAGCTTGTGTTTCCTTATTATTTTCTGTCTGGATGATCTGTCCATCGGTGTAAGTGAAGTGTTAAAGTCCCCCACTATTATTGTGTTACTGTTGATTTCCCCTTTTATGGCTGTTAGCATTTGCCCTATGTTTTGAGGTGCTCCTATGTTGGGTGCATAAATATTTACAATTGCGATATCTTCTTCTTGGATTGATCCCTTGTTAATTATGTAGTGTCCTTCCTTATCTCTTGTAACAGTCTTTATTTTAAAGTCTATTTTATCTGATATGAGTATTGCTACTCCAGCTTTCTTTTCATTTCCATTTGCATGGAATACCTTTTTCCATCCCCTCACTTTCAGTCTGTATGTGTCCCTAGGTCTGAAGTGGGTCTCTTGTAGACAGCCTATGTACGGGTCTTGTTTTTGTATCTATTCAGCCAGTCTGTGTCTTTTGGTTGGAGTATTTAATCCATTTACATTCAAGGTAATTATCCATACGTATGTTCCTATTACCATTTTCTTAATTGCTTTGGGTTTGTTTTTGTGCGTCTTTTTCTTCTCTTGTGTTTCCCTCCTAGAGAAGTTCCTTTGCTGTAAAGCTGGTTTGATGGTGCTGAATTCTCTTTGCTTTTGCTTGTCTGTAAAGCTTTTGATTTTTCTGTCCAATCTGAATAAGATCCTTGCTGGGTAGAGTAATCTTGGTTGTAGGTTTTTCCCTTTTATCACTTTAAATATATCCTGCCACTCCCTTCTGGCCTGCAGAGCTTCTGCTGAAAAATCAGATGACAACCTTATGGGGATTCCCTTGTATGTTATTTGCTGCTTTCCCCTTGCTGCTTTTAATATTTTTTCTTTGAATTTAATTTTTGTTAGTGTGAGTAATATGTGTCTTGGTGTGTTTCTCTCTGGGTTTACCCTGTATGGGACTCTCTGCACTTCCTGGACTGGGGTGGCTATTTCCTTTCCCATGTTAAGGAAGTTTTTGACTGTAATCTCTTCCAATATTGTCTCAGACCCTTTCTCTTTCTCTTCTTCTGAGACCCTTATAATTTGTATGTTGGTGCGTTTAATGTTGTCCTAGAGGTCTCTGAGACTGTCCTCACTTCTTTTCATTCGTTTTTCTGGGTTCTGCTCCTCAGCAGTTATTTCCACCATTTTATCTTCCAGGTCACTTATTCATACTTCTGCTTCAGCTATTCTGCTATTGATTCCTTCTAGTGTATTTTTCATTTCAGTTATTGTGTTGTTCATCACTGTTTGTTTGGTCTTTAGTTCTTCTACGTCCTTGTTAAACATTTCTTGTATTTTCTCAATCTGTGGCCCCATTGGATTTCCAAGATTTCGGCCCATCTTTACTATCATTACTCTGAATTCTTTCTCAGGTAGGTTGCCTATTTCCTCTTCATTTATTTGGTCTTGTAGGTTTTTACCTTGCTTCTTCATCTGTAACATATTTTTGTGTTGTCTCATTTTTCTTTGATGGGTGGGGCTGTGTTCCTGTCTTACTGTTTGTTTGGCCTGAGGCGTCCATTACTGGAGTTTGCAGGCAGTTGGATAGAGCTAGGTCTTGGTGCCAAGATGAGGACCTCCAGGAGATCTCACAACGATTAATATTCCCTGGGGTCTGAGGTTCACTGTTAGTCCAGCAGTTTGGGCTTAGTGCTCCCACCACAGGAGCTCAGGTCTGAGCCCCGGCCTGGGAATCAAGCCGCGCAGCACAGCAAAAAAAAAAAAAAAAAGCAAAACACTAACAAAGAATAAAAAATAAAATAAAATTGGAAAAATTAAAAATATATTAGGAAAAATAAAAATATAAATGAAACAACCACAAGGCAAAACAGAACCACGACAGCAAAAAAAAAGAAGCCTGGAAAAGGCCTTGGTGGTGGGCAGAGCTTAGGTGCAGCACGGCTGGAGGGGGTCCCGGAGGGCTGAGGTTTAGGTCCAGGGCCCCAGCAGGCTCTCTGGGGCTCAAGCAGGCAGGGGAGACGCCAGCCTCGTTCCCCTCCGATCCCCCAGTACCCCGAAGGTCTCTCCCCATCCCTGCTAATCCCTGCTCCATGGGCGGGCTCCTCCAATCATGGGAACCCCTCCCTTCCCCCAGCTGCCCCTCAGGGGTGCCAGTCCCATCCCGCCTCCGCTTTTCCTCCCCTCCCCCTTCCCCCCAACATCCTACCCGGTTGCTCGGGGATTCCTCCCGTCCCTTTAGGTTTCCGAGGTCCCTGACCAGTGCCTGGTAGGGGCCCTAGTTGTGAGGAGACACGAACTCCACCTCTTCCTACTCTGCCATCTTGGCTCCTCCTCTGCTGTAGGTTAACTTGCTGACCTGATACCGCTTCATAGTCTTTAAGGAACAGTGGAGAGCAGAAGTGCTGGTAGAACAGGCGGGTGATAGGAAAACTTTGTTCTGTGTTTCAAAAAAGGAGACAAGTTGCTAGCTAGAGCTGTGAACTTCTTGCTAATTCTACGTAAAATTCTCAGAGAAAATTGGCATCTGCCAGTCCATGACTACTTGAGGGGGAAGAAGCCAAGAGGAGTCAGTAGGTTCACTAAGAACAAGTTATAAAGTGTAGCGCGTGTGTGTGTGTGTGTGTGTGTGTGTGTGTGTGTGTGTGTGTTTTAATTAGGGAAGCTATAAAAAAGTGTGTCTGGATTTCCTGTGGAACTTTATAGTCTCTCCTGAGATCTTTTCATTAAAATGGCGGACTACAGACTGACAGGGTGCTGCTTGAACTCATCTTTCCACGATGTTGATGAGTGAATCCATGTTAACTTGGAGGAACATGGTACTCTTTGGGACCGTGAGCCCGCCTTGTCTTATCCACCATTTTTGCTGTTTAGGTGAAGGACTTGATGAAGTTTGCAAGCAAAGCGAGGTAGGAGCTAATACATTGGAAAACAGAATCAGAATGAGACAGAATCCTTCTGTTTTGCAACAGAAGTGGTGAGCCCAGTCTACTCAGATGACATTTAGTAGGATCAACATGCAAAATCTCAACAATGTTTGAAAAAAAACCCTAAATGCCCATTTAAAAGATGGAGGAGATGTGGCCCACCTGAAAAAGACTCTCAGCTGACTGCACAGAGCATCAAGCCCTGAGGATGCCACTGCTAATGAGACCTCAGGCCCATGCTGTCTTGTACCCCCAGACCTTCCCTGGAGCAGTTTGTTCCATTCCAAGGGTCATATTTTATGAGACTGTTGAACCAACTGCAGAACATTTAGCAGGGCATAAACTGGTTGAGAAAGTTTAAACAGTATCATATGAGGAACGTGTGAAAGACTTGGGATGATTAGACCCGATTAGAAAGAGGATGAAAAGGAACAGAACTAACAGTTCCCTCAAGGTAGGCATTAATAGCCTCATATGACAGATGAAGGAACTGAGAGTCAGTGGGTCCTTTAATGTGCCCAAACGTCCATAGCTAAGTATCCACATCAGTGTGACCTGGAAGCCTGTGCATTTCCCACTTCAGCACAGGGGCTGTCATAGGAGGTGAGCTTAATCTATGTGGTTCTAGAAGGCAGAATCAGGAGCAGAGAGACCAAGTGCCCAGGAAGCAGACCCTATGCTAATGAGTCTGTCCAAAGGGGAAAGATGGTGAGCTCCCCGTCACTGGAGGTATACAAGCAAATCTTTAAAGACCACCAGCTGGGGTGTGGTTGAGCGCTCGGGCACTCGGCAGCCACTGGACCATGTGGCCTCCCAGATTCCCCTCGGTTCTGTCATTTTAGCTGCTCAGCCAGCATTCTCTTGCCTGCTTGGTCTGACTGGCTGTTTTCCCACAGCTCCTCATTAAGCTGAAGACTCAAACATCCACGGAGTACTTCCTGGAGGCCTGTTCTCGAGAGGAGAGGGACGCCTGGGCCTTTGAGATAACAGGAGCTATTCACGCGGGGCAGCCGGGGAAGGTCCAACAGCTCCACATATTGAAGAACTCCTTCAAGCTGCCCCCTCACATCAGCCTGCAGTGAGTGCCTGGGCCCTGCCCTTGCCCTATCTGGCCTGGCTGCAGACTCTTCTGTGTGTGTGCAGCGGGGATGCGGGGTTGGGGTGGGATTTGGCGGGGGGAGCGGCCTGTGGCTGTTACCCAGGCCTGACTGGTACCACCATTGTGCTTCAGGGCCTTTCGCTGTCCCTGTCCTGCTTACATTGTTTTCTCTGCCTGGGAGTGGCCCTACCTACCTGCCCTGGGAACCTCTTGGGGCCTCTGCTGCTCCTGCCCCCCTCAGTGTCTTGACACCCTCTCTTCAGTTTCACCCAGGGTGCTCAGGGCTATGTGACAGCTCCCCAGGAATCCCTGCTCACCCAAGTCATTAGTCTTGTTTGCAGCCTGGGGGCAAGAACGATGTGTTCTGGTAGCAGTTGCATTCTCACTCTGTGGGATTCTTCATCCATTCATCCATTCATTCATTTATTCATTCATTCAAGAAACAGTTATTGAGTGCCTACTGCATGCCATACATTGCTCTAGGTGCTCAGGAGATGCAAATGAGAATAAACAAAGTCTCATCTCAGGGGCTTTCCAGCCCAAGTACATAAACAGAGAATGAGAAAAGATCTTCCATTTGTGGCAGGAATCATCCCACAGAACAGAAGGAAAACAGTAGTGGAGGCGATACTATAAAGTAGGGACGGATGACAGGAGTTCCCATCATGGAATCTCTTACATCAGCCCATCTGCAGGAAATACCCCCTAACCTTCCAGGTAGCAAAACTACCAAAAAGCTTCATACCAGGCTCTGGGATCTTGATTGTGCATCTAGGGCGCGGCTGAACCGTGGTGAGTGCAAGGAGGACCAGTGGCAGATGAGTGTGGGTTCAAGTGATGGGTGACTTTGAGAAGTAGCTGGAGGAGTTTGAACTTTATGCAATAGATCATAGAGAATCATTACTGAACATTCTTTTGTTTCTAAATTAAAAGCCACAGCTCATTAGTTCTACTACAGAAGTAATACCTGTCTAGTCTAGAAATATTAGAACGTTTAGATGAGCAAGAAGAAAAAGAAACGTCCCCAAATCCTACCTCTCAAATCCTGATGCATAATGGAATACCCCTTTTTTTGCAATGTGTATCCTCCCATGTGCCATGTGCTTTACATCCTTAGCAATGACTTTTGGACCCTCCCTCATACCTGTCAGTGTGACCAGGGTCCCTCTCCTTTGCCTTCCTCTGTGTAGTCGCATCGTGGACAAGATGCACGACAGCAGCAGCGGAATCCGGCCAAGCCCCAACATGGAGCAGGGAAGCACCTACAAAAAGACCTTCATAGGTGAGCCTCCCCTCTCGGGGGCTGGGCCAGGCTCTGGAAACCTGGGGCTTGGTGATCCGGGACTCTGTGCTTGAGCGGCTTGTGTTGAGGCCAGAGCTGCCTGCCAGCCGAGGGGCTGGCCTGAGATGGCCACATGTGAGTGCGGCCACAGCTCTGAGCAGCAGGTGTGACCTTCGGTCTGCTCTAGGGCAGAGCCCCAAGGCTATGCAAGGCTGCCCAAGAGGTCCAGGTCAATGAGATCACAGCCAAGCACCCCTGAGGAAGCTGGTCTGGAGCCTGTCGTCTGACGGGTGCTGCCTTTACCCTGATGCAGGCTCCTCCCTGGTGGACTGGCTCATCTCCAACAACTTTGCAGCCAGCCGTCTGGAGGCCGTGACCCTGGCCTCCATGCTCATGGAGGAGAACTTCCTGAGGCCGGTAGGCACCCGAAGCACGGGAGCCATTCGCTCTGGGGATCTGGCTGATCAGTTCCTGGATGACTCCATGGCCCTGTACACTTTTGTAAGTTAGGGAGTGGGTTCCTGTTGCCACTGGGGCAGAGAGACGAAGAGGCAACAGAGTGGGGGGCGGGCGGGGATCCACAGTCACGGGTGAGAGGCCAAGCTTCACCCCAGGTGGAGTGGGTTTTCTGTATGGAGGCTTTTCCTTTCCCCCGCGGTATCCTCCACAGCCTAGAACTAGGACTTTTTGGTAACAGAGTCCTTGCTCTCTCCTTCCCGCTAGGCTGAGAGCCCCAAGAGGAAGATAAGCTCCAAGGAAGAAATCAGTCTCAGCACCGTGGAGTTAAGTGGCACAGTGGTAAAGCAAGGCTATCTGGCCAAGCAGGTATGGCCGCCTTGGAGCGGGGAGCAGATGGGCAGTTCGCAAGCTCGGGGGAGGCAGGAATCCCCGCAAAGGGCGGGAAGGGCTGAGACTGCCAGGGGCACTAATTATCCGCAGAATCTGCTAAAGTCAGGGTCCGGTGGCAGCCACCGGGAGCAAATCAAGGGGCATGCACGTGTCCACTCGCGCATACACGAGCCCCAGACAAGGGGGCGTTCCGGGAAGAGTGCACACAAGTAGTTATCACAGCATTAGAAAACAATGCCTACGTCACTGCCCAGTTCACTTATTTGTCTGGAAGGGCATTGCCTACTGGTTGGCATTTTGCCTTTGCTGGCTTTCTGCTCCCTGAGGCTTCCTGGGGTCTCTGCCTGCTTTTGTGGGACTCTGCCTGCCCCCTTGAGAAGTATTTTCTCCACCTACTTCAGTAGGTTGAAGGTGAAATTCTGCAGTGTAATCTCTGTGTTTAAAAACTGACCGTGGCCACTGCTCCTACCACGTTGGGAGAGCGGCCACGTTAAGCGGGGACAGCCGGGTCACAGTCACACCTGCGGCATGTCCACCTGTGCCTGCAAACCAAGCTGCCGTGTCCCGGCACGTGAGGTGTAAGCCAGTCTCCTACACACCTCTTGTGTCTATGCACTCCTGACACGCCACGTGAATGTGTGCGTCTGTACAACACTGCTCAGCACCGTTCCCATCTTCTTGGAGCACTCGATGTCATTGTCACCTGCTTCTTGCGTATCAGGATCCCCTTCTGCTCTTAGATTGCTTACCGTCCACGTAACTGCCTGTTTATTCCAAGGGCTCTGCTTCTGCTGGGCCTGAAGGGAGTCTGGTGAGGGGGGGTAGTGAGGTCCTGGGAGAGGAGGAGGGTGTGGGAGGGACTCGGGGTGCTCCAGACTAGAGGGTTAAGGAAGCTTTGTGACCTAGGGGTGAAGCCACAGTCACACGCACGGCAGTATCTTCCACGCTTAGATTTAAACATATAATTGATTGTTTCTTACTCTTTTTTTTTTTGCAGTAGAGTTGATTTACAAGGTCGTGTTAGTTTTTGGTGTCCAGCAAAGTGATTCAGTTATAAATATATATATACATATTCTTTTTCCTATTCTTTTCCATTATGGTTTATTACAGGATGTTGAATATAGTTCCCTGTGCTATACAGTAGGACCTTGTTGTTTATCCGTTTTATATATAATAGTTTGTATCTGCTAATCCGCAACTCCTAATTTATCCCTCCCCCAGCCCCTTTCCCCTTTGGTAACCATACGCCTTACTCTTTTTCTGATGCAGAATGCCGAAGTGGTTTTCACTGTATATAAGTGCACATATATTCCTGTAGGTGTAGGTTTGTTTTCGGACTAAGTTGACGCTTAAAATTTGGTGCCCTTGGGTTCAAGTTTGCCTGTGAGTTCTTGGTCCAGTTGAAACCTGTGACCTCCCTGTCCTCCGTGTGCCCTGAGTGGTGTCCAGGCAGTGCTCCCCCTTTCTTTCAGTGCTGACCCTCTTTGGCTGTGTCAGCTCGGCTAAAGGTGACTGCTGTTGGTGAAGTGTCACTGAGCCGTGAAGTCCATGACACGTCACTGCAATCCCCAGGTCTCCAGGCTCTTTTGAGAAAGTCGTTCATTGGAGCAGGCTGGCTGGGAGGTTCGAGCTTCTGCACTGGAGGCACAGAGGTGGGAGGAAGTGACTGAGAGCTGTCACCGATGAGCCTTGCACCCTCTCTTTGCCTCAGGGGCACAAGAGGAAAAACTGGAAGGTGCGGCGCTTTGTTCTGAGGAAGGACCCGGCTTTTCTGCATTACTACGACCCTTCCAAAGTGAGTGCCTTGTCATGCTCCCAGACACATCTCTCCAGAGCAGAGCAGGCAGCTGGCTTCACCTCCGCCCTTCCTCCCAGCATCCCTACCATAACTCCCACCCACTATGCCTTTCCTTCCACGGTGCAAGCTACCCCTCACAGTCTGATCACTCCTTTCTTTCATCACATGGTTGCCTGCTCAGTGGCTCTACATTGTTTTGAGAGGCAAAGCGTCTTTCAGTTTCTCCAAAGCTGGCTGTGTGCCTAGGGAAGGTGAGGTGCGCTGATAAAGAGACTCCTAACTGGTGCTTTCTAGTCTCTTTTCACCCCTTTCCACCCAAAGAGTCCATGAATTCTGCCCCCTCAACCTCATGTCCCCACCAACGTTTTGAAAGGTTTCTTTTACCATTTAATATTTAAGCCCTAATTCTGAGTTTCAGATAATAAGTATTCCTGCATGCTGGGTTTGATCTAATTCCAATCAGAAGAAAAGAAAAATGTCCTTCTGGTCAGCCTGTTCAGCCTTGTCTTGGTAGATGTATTCATTTGTTTTTTGAAATAAGAATGGACGTTCCTCCCTTGCTGAGCTTCAGTCAGGAACCCCACCCTAAGCTGAGAAACTGAAGGAGCTTGAAACAGCCCCCCACCCCGGGACCCTGCTAGACCACAGGGAGGGCCGAGGGACAGGGAGGGCCGAGGGACAGGGAGGGGGGTGGCACTGCTGCAGCTGGCTGTGGAATGAAGAAGCCCGGACTTCCTCGCTGGTGCAGACGACTTGCCATGTGATGTCCAAGTTCAGCCTCAACTGCTGTTACAAATGACTCCACAGACTACTTTAGCAGGCTGACTGCGGGTGGTTATAGATGAGAGGGTGACTCTTCTTTTTTGTGCCTTCACACAGTTCCTAATCAGGTCTCCTTTCCTTTGCAGGAAGAGAACCGGCCAGTGGGTGGGTTTTCTCTTCGTGGTTCACTCGTATCTGCTCTGGAGGATAATGGCGTTCCCACTGGTAAGGGGCAACTTTTGCCCTGGCCTGATCTCGGGGGCCTCCCTCCTGTGCTCTCAGTTAACACTCTGCTGATGAAGGGCTAAGCTGTGAGGGCTGATGGGCTTTCTCAGTGAGACGATGAATGGTGTGAGCTTTGAAGCCGATTAGAGAAAGGGCAAGTGGGGTGTTCTTAGTGTGTTAACAACCCAACTAAATGACCCTTGTCTTTCATATTCTTTCCCATCCTTTTCTGTGCTTACTGGCCCATAGGCTTCCACCTAAGAACAGTAGCTTACAATAGTGCTTAAGGATTGACAACACACTATTAGCACACTAATTTCACAATAGACAGTTGAGGTAGGAGGATAGTATTATTCTTAACTTATGGATGTAGAGATTGAGGTTCAAAGAAGTTAAACAATTCAAGTCAAATCCCACATCTGTGTCTGGTTTTAACATAAACATACTGGACTCTTTGATGTGAGTTAGACTGTAGACCTGTGGTTTGCATAGGGGGCAGGCCAGGAGGGCTTCCAAGAATGTCCAGACATAGCACTGGCAGGCCTTAAGGCACAGGTGAGGGAGAGGGGATGGACAGGAGGAATACAGGAAAGCACACATCTGGTGGGATTTCCTAACCATACACATTTGTACTAAGAAATACTTCATGGTATGTGTTTTTGTCTGTGTCTCAGTTGACTTTCAGCTACTCCCAGCTGAAAGCAGACATGGATGTTCACTCGCTGATTTTTTTTTTTTTTCTTCCTGCCTAGGGGTTAAAGGGAATGTCCAGGGAAATCTCTTCAAAGTGATTACTAAGGATGACACACACTATTATATCCAGGCCAGCAGCAAGGCTGAGCGTTCAGAGTGGATTGAAGCTATCAAAAAGCTAACGTGACAAGGACCTGAGGGAATGGGATCAGGATTCCTCCCTCTTAACAGATGACACAGGATTTCCTGGAAAACGGGAATGTGTTAAGACTTTTAGCTTTTTCTATTTTGTACTGCTTTGGAGTGAGATTGGTGAAGAGTTCCTTAGATTACAGTGGGCAGTGGTGCTATTTCCTTCCCCACCTTCAAAGTTAACATGGAAATGCTAGAATAGCCATTAGGCATCAGCATCTTGACTTTCGCTCATCATCACAACCAGCCATTCCTTGGGTACCAAAGTAGGTTTCCCTTGTCACACTAACTGGCCACGTTGTAATACTAAATAAAACACTATAGTCTCATGGTGGCGCTCTCTGAAATGCTGTCAGCAACTCATTCTTTGGAATGAATAAAAATTGTTATTTGTTCCTGGCTATTAGAATTCCTATACCAAGTTTTAGTTTTCAAAGGTTTTTCATGCTTAAGGCTATACGAATTATTAGGCAAGCTGATTATAAAAACATCTCAAGTGATCTGTCACTAAAACATGCCCCATCTTAAAGTGGGGATGGGGGGCAAAATTTTGAAAATATCGTTTTGCTTTGAAAAATAAGCTTTCGTAAGTATTATACGTTGCAGAAAAGAAATCATGGACTCAGACAGATTAGTCACACATATAAAAAAAGTAAAATTACAGGTTTTCTGTGGATAAAAATGTCATTTAGATAGAGCAGGAGTTTGTTGAAGGACAGGAACAGGAGCTCTCTAAAGGACACAGAAAGATGTCAGTGGGAAAAGAATTAAATCAAGGCATGAAATTTTGGGTTTTAGAATGAAGATTAATGGAGACAAATAGGTACCAAGAAGCTTCACCAGTTAGGAGGTTAATCTGAAGTAGTGAAAAGTCTGCATCATACAGTATCTTTAAAAACATTTTTATTACTTTCAAGTTTAATACAGTAATCTGCCAAGTACAAGTGCTTCGGCTTCCTTTAATGAATAGATACGTAACTTACATTTAAGGGGAGTGGATACTTCCAAAGTGCTTAAGTAAAAATTCATTCTCTTCAATAGTTTGAACTGTCTCCTCTTAATCTTGTCTAGAATAACTGATCTGAGGTTTTACTTTAATTCCTTACATTCTAAGAGACTGCCTTTTAAAGCACCATTTTCCATTTGGCATTTCACCAAGGTCTATGTCCTTGGAATTAGTTTCTTTATTGCTTCTTGTTATCAACAGGTGTTTACCTGAATTAAACTGCATTTGGTTTGATGGCTTCTTGACTCTAAATTAGCACAATTACACCCCACTCTGTATGGTATCAGTATCGTGTGTTGAAAAGTAGTCGACTATCACATTGAGGCAAACCAGGGGTCAACTCTCGCCAAGAGTTCTAGCACTTGAATTTTTAAAAATCCGGAACCATTTACACTGTTCTTGATGTAAAAGTAGCTAGGTCAAGTACGGCAGCTGAGTAGTAACTGTACTGCTTAGCACGTCTCTGTAGGTTTCCACTAAGTGTTTGAGCATTATCCATGTAAGTAATGGCTTGTCTTGTTTTACTAGAAAACATGAAAAATGGTTTGCGTTCATATTTTTCCAGGCCATTTAAGATTTTCAACTAATTATGCCTAATGGAGACTCAAACTATTTTCAGTTATGAGTCGATAACCACTTGACCTCAAAGGCAGCATGGGGAATAGATGAAATTGTCAATTTTTAATGAAGAGTCTTTGTGGGGAGAGATCCATTTGGATAAACTGGTCAATTGTCTTTGTCAATCTGTTCAAGTTATTTGGAGCTGGGGGTGATCTTGTTCTCATATTTGAAAGTGATACTTTTAGGTCACCAGGGTAAGTTTAGTTAGTTCTCTCCTTCATGATCAGTGAGGTATTGATCTTTTTTCTCATAAGGGTCATAAATTTGCAAAATTGTTGCGAAACTGAGCAAAAGACCTGCATGGGATAAAATCACTCACCACTGATGCCACCGGTATTTCTCGACAGTTATGGCTTTTGAAGTATTAAAAAAAAATTCAGTAAACAAAGTGAAAATTCAATTCCTCTGCTTACAGCAAACATTTAAGGAGCACCTGTTACAGTTTGATAACATTCTTGATGCTGTGAGCTTTATAGACTTTTTTTTGACTCCTCAGAAAGACTGAAGTGAAAATTATGTGCCAGATTCTCCTCTAAATATTCCCAGTATGCAAGCCAGCAATCATGGCTCCCTCGTGGAAACGGTTATATGAAATTAGACTTCTGGATTTAAAGAGCTAGTAGAGGCTGCTAAATTAAACAAAGGGACAAACCTTCAAAAATGGCTCAAATGGCTCACCGACACACTCTTCTATTTTCCATTCCCTTTAACACTGAGGTAAGTCTAGTCCTGGACTGACTAAGGTGGGTTAGGTTTAATCTTCTAAGAAGTATTTCTTGGGAATGATTAGTAAAATTAACTTATCTAGTACCTCAAGTACCCTAAGAGATTAAATTTATGAAGCAGACCAAAGTTAACTTAAGACTTTCTACACCCTGGCTACTATAACTGTAACTGCAAACCATACGTTATCTATGAAATTTATTTACCTTTGTATATATTATTTATTTACCTTTAGAACAATCAGCTCTTAAAGAAAAAAATGATGGAAACACAGAAAAACCATTGTAATTGTGTTCAAACAGATCCCCACTCTATTATGAAGAGAACTGAAGCTTCTACGTGGCACCTAGCAAATATTTTACTGGAAAAAAACCCCAAAAGTTGGGCAATGAGACTCAAATAACTTAATTTAAAAAGCAGCATCTTTTTCTTTAAAAAAACACCCCTAAAACCTTTACCACCCTGAATTACAAACTCAAGGCAAGCAGCTTAGTACACCAACAAGGACCAGTGTGATAAATTCTCCCTCATACCACATGCTGTCATCAGTCTCAAATAGGTAAAAGGCACACAACCAATGTAATTCTTTAGTTGCATTTTAAGGCTTTTTCCCCCTAGGAGTAAACTTTCACTAATTAAAATTATGTTCTCTAAAACCTCCCTTTGAAAGGATCTGCTATATTGATCCTTTAGGTCACCTGCCTTTATATTACTACATTTCAAATAAAATGAAGATAATAGAATTAGGGTCTTAGTAATCATAATGCTTTTAACTGGTGACAATAAGGAAGAAACCTATGGTTAAATATCCCAGAAATTTATTTAATGTTTGCTTGATACATTTTATATAGAAAGGTTAGGACTATTTGCTTTGGGTGCCCCTGGTAAATCTCATGGAGGCACTGAACTACAGAGGGGTGCCAATCTGGAGACATCAGAAATGGAAATCACACGCCCCATTTTATGACTGTTCTTAAAGATTTGTCTCTAGTGAAATCAGGCCACTCCCTTAAAAAATGCTCAAGGTGTCAGAGCTACTGTGTGAAAACAGCTGACATTTAGGAGGGCGTTTCACGTTTTGGTCTGTTGGAACATTTAAATACTTCGAAATAAAAAATATTCAGCTTTGAAGTTTTCAATACTGGAAAACTTTCAAGTCTAGGGTTAACAGCCAGGAAGGCTGCTTTGTGTTCCTTAAACTGGACTCTGTTGCCCACAAAGTTAATCTTCGGCTTTGGCTTCCATTTCTTCCGCATCGTCATCTCCATCCACTTCGGCATTTTCTCTCTCCAGCCTCTCCAGCTGCCTTGCAAGTTCAGTCTCATCTGTATCTGTGACCACTTTGGGCTGTGGAAGCAGAGGCACAATTTCAAAGTGAAGTAGTTAAACAGTACACAAATTCAATTTCAATAGTATTACTGCCTGGTATTTTAACTCTTAAAAAAACACTTTGGGGGCTTCCCTGGTGGCGCAGTGGTTGAGAGTCTGCCTGCCGACGCGGGGGACACGGGTTCGTGCCCTGGTCTGGGAGGATCCCGCGTGCCGCGGAGCGGCTGGGCCCGTGGGCCATGGCCGCTGGGCCTGCATGTCCGGGGCCTGTGCTCCGCAATGGGAGAGGCCGCAGTGGTGGGAGGCCCGCGTACCGCTAAAAAAAAAAAAAAAAAAAAAAAACACTTTGCTAACAACTCTGCCCTATCTGTTCACTTTTGAGTGCTGAAATATCACCAATAAATTCCATGAGATAAATAATAAAAGAAATTTATGAGAGTAAGACAATACAGGAAAAGAAAACATATATATTAAAACCTATACATTTTCTGTAATTTCTAACAAGCTAGAACGGAAAATATATGAAAATAATTGCAGTGGCTGTATCTTTCAAATACACAAAAAGATGTCCTGTAAAAATGCATCTTCTGGCTTCAAAATAAATTACTTACTATTCTTTTCCACAGAAGAAATTGTTTTGAAAATTATATATGAAAATTAGTTTTTGTTCTTGTTGAGATGAGGAAAGTATGAGACTATTCTTGTTTTTAATTCTGAAATCAAATTTTAAGCATTCTACATTAAATTCTGGCAATAACCAATCACTTATTTTCATTGTCTATATTTTTTTCCTTTTGGGGGATCAGTGACCACAGTCCTGAATAACCATCCCATGAGAGTTCTTATTTACTTATAAACACCCTTTTAGGAACTCTCTGAGTCAATGATTATTTTATGCTTTGGGGAGTTGTAATCTTAAACGCATCTCATGTTTTAAAATGACTCCGATTAGATATTTTAGAATGCAAATCACTTAGATCATTTAAATTTCTTAAGAACTTCAAGAACAAGGCAAAAAACCCCAGTATTGACCTCACCTCCATTTGAACATTGAAGACGCCCCTCTTTTCCTCAATCTTTTCTTTTATAACAGCCATAGCTTGGTTGAGGACAGAGAGGCCTTCTGTTCTCTCCAGGGTGGTTGTAGTCATTACATACCGAGGAGGAGCTATTAGATTAATCTAAGGAAGACAAAATTCAATTATGAATGTACCTATACAACACACAACAATGAGGATGTTCGAGAATCGTTTTGCTTATCTGCTGCTTTAACAACAAATCACCCCAAAACTTACTCCCAATTCTGCAGCACAGCAATTTGGAGTAGTTTGTTTAGGTAGCCAAAGCTAACTGATACTATGATCTAATCCAGTAGTATAAACAGGCTACTGCAATACCAAATATGAAGGATTATGACTTCTGGGTCTTTGGTGGCTAAACTAACTATAGCTATCATTGGCACAATGGATAATTTGTCTCTAAAATTCCTGTTTGGTTCCAAACTAAACTGATAGAAGAAATTCTTCTATGAGATTCTGAATAACAACCATCCAGTTAATTTTATTGCTAATGAAAGATTCAAGGCAAACATCTTGAAAGCTCTGTGTGAATATGAGAGAATAAGTTGCTCTTTTCAAGATTCTATGAGCATTATGGGCACAGTGACTCTTTACTGTAAAGTAGGCTTAGCACAGCTGGCCCCTTGGCACTAAATACCAACAGGAATCTCCATCCACTGTGACAGTAGCAGTAGCTACAACAAAAAGCCTACACATAATTGTAAACATCTCCTAGAAATATCGTATCAAGAACCACTTTTCATAACATTTGTTATGAGACATGATCATTAAAAAAATCTGGTTTGATTTGGTTTAGGTGATTTTGGTTTATCAGGGAGGGAAAAAACTGACTACTCACCTTGATGGGCATGGTTTCTGTAGAACAATTCAAACCTGCTCTCAGGGCTTCTTTTACAGCATCGATGCCTTCATAACCATAACAAGCCACTTCAATATCTAAAATTATAAAAATTCAAAAGCTTATACCAAAAAAATGCAAAAATTTTTTTTAGAGGTTTAAAAGAAATTAGAGACATGACAAATACACTAGTATTCAAATATGTATGAAAGCTCTCATCATCCTTTCAATTATCAATCAATCCCAGCCATTAATTTTCATAATTAAAAATATCTGAATATGCACTGAAATTGTATCTTCTCATTCACATCAAGCCCCTGAATGATGAAACTATAAAAAAACCAGAGAAATTTAACGAACACCTTGAATTCTGGCTATGTCTGGGTTAAAAGTCATGATTTCAACCCCTCTGTGCTTCAGTTCCTTATTTGTAAAATGGAGATGAGGAGTGTGATGAAGACTGAGTGAAATAATAACCACAAATTGTTTAGAACAGTTTAAAAACTGCATACCCTCTGACCCAGCAATTCTACTTTTAAGAATCTGCCTTACCGAACACTTGTATAAATGGGTAAGTGTATGTGTATAAGGGTGTTAATTTGCAGTGTTTTTTGTAATACAGTTGACCCTTGAACAATACAGACTTGAACTGCATGGTCTGCTTACAAGTAGAATTTTTCAACAGTAAACACTACAACACTACACGAACCATGGTAGTTGAATCTTGGACTCAAAACCACATATACAGAGGACTAAGTTATATGTGGATTTTAGACTGTACAGAGGGTGGGCGACCCTAACTCCCCCACGTCGCTCAAGGGTCAACTGCTATAAAAAGACTGGCACAACCTAAACACTCATCGAGAGGAGACTGGCTTATATCAAGGTTTATCATTCTATGGAATATTACTTAGCTATTCAAAATGAGAAAGATTCCCGTGTTCTACATGAAAGGGCAGCCATGATACACCAAGTGGAAAAAGCTAGTTGAAGAAAATTTTGCATAGTATTCATCCTTATAAAAACATAAAAATTTACATCTGAATATAAACAGCATACATTCCTATACACCATATGTGGATAGGAAAAATCTCTGCTGAAAGAATATATTGCAAACTAACGTAACAGTGGTTAATCCAGAGGCCTGGGAGGATGTTGCTGGACTGCTGGAATTTTAAAGCATGCACTAAAACAAAATAATCGCCACCCCCCATGCCCCAGAAAGCGGGCTAACTTAAGGTTAGCTGAACTCATTTACTTGCGTCAATATATATGTATTATAATTCTGTAAAAGCAAAGATAACTTAATTTCTTTAACTTTTCGTGTTATGAAAAACGTTTAGAAAAAGGTAGATGTTGATGTAGCAACATATTCTTTGGTGAGGCTCATTATGTAACAGCTTTTTTGGTACATGCAAAATATTTTAAACATCATTTAAAAAATCATTTACCTGCTCGAATTTTGACAGCTTGTGGAGTCAAACGCCTATTAATATTGTTAATGAGTACTTCCCGTTCATCTTCATTCAAATCTAAGCCATCCAAAATAGATGGGTCTCTGATAATTAAAAAAAAAACAACACACACATACACAAAACAAAATGTCAAGGTTACTTTACTGATAATTAGGACACCAAACATAATACCACAGAATAATGATTAAGAGCACAGCCTTCAGTGTCAGAATTAGAGTTCAAATCCTAGCTTCACAATTTAATCACTATGTGTTTTTGGGCCTTTCTAGACCTCAATTTCCAAATATGTACAATGTGAATGAAAACAGTGTATCTCACTGGATTGTAGTATTAAATGAGATAATGCAAGTAAAGCGTTTAGGCCTGTATGACAAACAGAAAACATCCAACTGATTATTATTAAAGGAAAAATTTTAGAGATCTGCCTAAAGCAAGCAATTTAAAATGTCGCCTATATAGGCATACTTCGAAGATACTGCGGGTTCAGTTCCAGACTGCCACAATAAAGCATGTATAGCAATAAAGTGAGTCACACATCTGGTTTCTCAGTGCATACACAAGTTATGTTTACACTATACTGTAGTCTATTAAGTGTTCAATAGCATTATGTCTAAAAAAATGTATATAACTTAATTTAAAAATACTTTATTGCTAAAAAATGGTAACCATCATCTGAGTGTTCAGAGAGATGTGATCTTTTTGCAATAGTAACATCAAAGATCACAGATCACGGTAACAAAATAATGAAAAATTTTGAAATACTGCAAGAACTACCAAAGTGTAACAGACACATGAAGTGAGCAAACGCTGTTGGAAAGCTGGCGCCAACAGACCTGCTTGATGAAGCATTGCCACAAACCTTCAATTTGTAAAAAAAACACAGTATATGCGAAGTGCAATAAAATGAGTTATGCTTATACGTCTCACATCCCACTATAATTAAGCATTTCCATGTAATTAGCAGTCCCTGATTCAAGGAGCTTAAAAAGAACAAAAACATGGAAAAAATTTTTAAAAAAACAAACAGAAGTGCATCCCTGGGGGTGAGGAGAGGAAGATATTAATTAGTGGGGTCAGGAAGGGCTTCATGGGTGAAGTGGCATTTCATCTGACCCTTGTAAGTGTCACAAACAGGGACCACAGTCTTAGTCACTGGCATGTTTGCTGAACGAATGAACAAATGGAAAAAATGAAATGACGACTAAAAGAATGGTAGGATTTTAACGAGCTAAGGTAGAACTTAAAGTTTTAAGAAAGTTATAACTGAAAGACAAACCAACAGAAAATGAGGAAATGAGATAAACAGATGTTTCACAGAAGAAATACAAATGGTCAATAAACATGTGAAATGCTGTTAACTTTACCAACATCCAGCAAAATGCAAATCAAAACAAGACACTATTGTACGTCAATCAGTTTGGCAAAAAAAAAAAAATCTGAGATATATACCAAATGTTGATGAAGAGGGAATATAAATTGTAGAACCAATTTGGAGAGTACTTTGGCAAAACTAAGTAAATTTAAAGGTGCATATAATCAATCCTATGACCCAACAATTCTATTCCTAGGTATCTTAGAAATTCCCAGACATTGTACAGAGAGACATGTATGACATTTGTCATAGCAGTTTTGAAAAGTAGGGGGATAAAAGGGCGGAGGGGATTATGTAAAAATCTCTTTATAGAGGAACAAATAAAGCATATTCTCACAACGAAATACTATATAGAAATTAATATGCAGTAGGCATGCATCTATCAATTTGGAGAAATTCTGGTCAATAATAGCATTATGAGTAAAAATGTACAGAAAAGCTTGTTACAATGATAAATTATTTTTTGTTTAAACAAATTATTTAAACATAAAAAAGATTCTATACATACTTTTCATAACCTACCCACACATGTATATGTATATAAATGATAATGATACATACTAATTTCAGAATAGTGGTTACCACTGATAAGTGACCGGAATTCTGGCTTGGGAGGAATAAAATATCGTTTCCAACAATCTCAGAAATTATATTTAATTATTTAATTAAGAGAAAAAAAATGAAGCACATGTGGCACAGAATTATCATGAGTTAAATCTGGACAGTTGCAACATGTCTGATGAAGCAAGGAAAGAATGTGAACGGTGATGAGTGAATGTTAATTCGTTAAGATGAATGTTAATTTGTTAAGAATGTAACCTGTTATTTGTTAAGAATGCAGAGTGGTAACGGAGACGGGGTGGAGGCAGAAGCTAGAGAGGTAAGCAGGGCTGATAATGACAGCAAACCAAGGTAAGACATGTACTGACTGAGGAGTCCAGGACTGAAGTCAGGGAGGACAGAAATACAAAGCAGTGCTTGATGGTTAATAGCATAAGCTCTGTAGCATAACTACAATGCCTGTGTTTGAGGCTCTACCATTTGGTAGCTGTGTGAACTTGGACAATTTAATCTCATCTAAATTTCCTCATCTATAAGATAGGAATAATAATGACACTTATACCATAGGTTGTTGTGAGAATATATAAATGTTAGCTGTTATTATTATTCTCACCTTTCCCACAAGGTGATATTTAAAAAAAAAATAAGTCACATGAGGGGAGGGGGTAAACTAGAAGGTATTTGGAGCCTCTGATGAGTAGGCCTGATGGAGGTTCTAACAGTTCTAAGCCCCACATGGCCATTCTGAGGGCTGAGGAGACCAATAACCCTTGGCAGCACAAGGGCTGGGAAAGTAACAATGCAGTGGTGAGGCTGCTTGTGAGGTATTAACATCTAGGAAGGACTGGGAGGTGCAGAAGTAGAGCAGTAAGTACAGAGAACTTAAGAAATCTGGCTGTTAAAAAGAGAGGACAAGTGCTTGTGACAGGAGAAAGTAGAGGGGAGGTTGAAAAGTTCATTTTTAGTATAAATGGGAGAAATCTGAGCATATTTTTATGCTGATGGAGCAAAACCAATAAAGAAAAAGGCTGAAGACCCAAGAGAGGGAATAGTAGATGGAAAGACATCCCTTAGGAATAGCTGGGCACAGGTGGTAAGATTACTTTGAGAGCAGGAAGGATCCAAATTCCAGTATGACAGGAGCACAGGAGGTAGTGACAGGTGGGATGGAGATAAGTTGGCTGAGAAAGTGGAAGTAGAGGTGATCCTGTGCAATGGCTTCTACTTTCTTTTTTAGGTAGTGAGCGCACCAGGTGAGAGTGAGAGGAGAGGGACAGAGTGGGTATCTGAGGAAGAGTGTGGAGAAGTTCTAAAATAGCCAATCTAAGAATGAGAGGAAGTGACCAGGAGCAAAGAGAATGTGGGGCAGCAGTTAAGGCCCAGCTGAGGTTGGAGACCATGAATATGCAGTGGCACCAACCTGCAAGACTGTGGTTTTTCCTAGCAGCACCCAGCAGTCTACAAGTGCAGAGAAGGCAGGAACATCGCTCCAAGGCTGGATGTAACAGAAGGAAAAACAGGGCAAAACTCATGACACTGGCAAGAAAGTTGTTGAAATGATGGACCATGGTGTGTCTATGCTGAATAAGAAAGAGAAGGCAGGAAAGGGTGAAAAAGGGAGAAAAAAAAAAGGATTGGAATCAGAGCCTGATAATAATAAGAATTAAAACGACACAGAGTAGGACTAACTGTGGGAGCTGGAAGGACAGGAGGCTGTGGTGAAAGAACAGAATGTGTGAATTAAAGGTTTCGGAGACAGAGCAAATCCTGGTGACAGTAAGACCCAGGGTAAGGCTATATGGAAGACTAGCTAATGTGGCATGGGCTGAAGGTCTAAGGAACTGAGGTAAAGAAAACAAGTTTTAAACAAAACATCTATGTTGGCCCTGAAGTCACCTAGGACAATAACAAAACTAGGAGAGGAGAGTATGTAAGACAGTAGTGTGAGATGAAACCATATGGTTTACAAAACTACATAACTATGGTATACCAAATCATATAGGCTCGGCTTTATAGGACTGGCCCATATCATGGGCCTATTATACTAAAATATTTTAATCTAAATTTGGCAAGGACTTAATACATGAATGTTGTGCTATTAAATGTCAGGCTCTCAACTTGTGTGCTAGACCCAGCAGCTGTAGTATCAATGGAGAAGCAGAGCTAAGAAGGTGTTCTTACGAGACTGCGTGCTTAAATGCATCATAGGCACCGTATCCGGGTCTCTTGTACTTGTCATCAAAGACCCAAGCGGTCCTCTGGAACAGGCTTTCCAGCTGCTCGTCCTTGGTATATTCTAAGACCTCAGCAACATGACGAAGAATGCTGTAAACCTAGAAACAAAATGAAGAGCTCAACAATTCAAAGGTAAGAGATCTATATTAAAAAAAAAAAAGGTATTTTTACATTTTAGTAGATAGCATATAAAAACAAACGTTTGGTTAATTTGACTACACTAATTCCTTAACAACAAAAGATTGCCACACACAAATTCTTTCTCCATAGAGAAATATTCGCTTTTCCATAATAACGAACTCAAGTGAGTATAACAAGTACAAGTAGTATAGCATTTACAACCTAAGACCCAGATCAAGTCAATTCTGGGACAAACAAATATATCTCTGAATATATTTCCTCAGCTGGAAAAGGAGATACTAGTATCTTTCCTTTTTACTGTAGTGAGGTCTTACGGATCAAAATGTAAGATAGTATTATTACTACTCCATGAGAGCATGGAACCTGGATGGAGATTTTATTATTTCTTTTGCTCTGTTATCATTTAACAGTTATCCTTCAATCCTACCCACCTCCTACCCACTGCTGCCAAACCCTTTTCCTAATCTAAACATAAAAGGGTTTAAAGAAGAAAAAGAGTATAAAGAGGCCTTCATGTTAATTACACACAAAATCTGAGTGAGGAAAAGTACTAACATTGGCTATTTCATTCTATCGTCTTATTATCCTAATAAGATCTATTATGCTCATTTTACAATATCCTAGGGGAACAAAACAAAAAGGAAGTTTCCTTGAGCAGTGCTTCTCAGATCTGGACTTGGTGGGACTTGAAAGATTTGGGTAATGGTCTGATGGCTTTTAGATTTATACTCTCTTTTACTGGGGTTAAACAAGATTTAAAAAATCTTTTCTTCATGTAAACACTGTTTTCTTGGCATTTTATCTTGAGGACAGAAACACACATGGCAGAGGAACAAAAGACACAAGAGAAGGGTAGAGAAAACAGAACCAGTGGAAACTGCCAATAAGCACTGAGGATCTAGGGAATAAAGGAAAATCTAAATAGGACCAGAGAACAGAAAAATACAGAAAGATGAGAATGAAGAAATGACTGTTCTTGCTTTATTAGTGCTTACTGAGGAAATTACAGCAAAACTAATAAGAAAAGGAAAAAAACCAAGGCGGGTGAGGGGTGGTGTGGAGAACCACACTAAGTAACAGGCCCTGCCTTGCTTTCCTGGATTCAAAGACATTTTACAAACCTTTGCTCATTATTATTATTTTTTTTTTTTGTGGTACGCGGGCCTCTCACTGTTGTGGCCTCTCCCGTTGGGGAGCACAGGCTCTGGACACGCAGGCTCAGTGGCCATGGCTCATGGGCCCAGCTGCTCCGCGGCATGTGGGATCTTCCCGAACTGGGGCACGAACCCGTGTCCCCTGCATCGGCAGGCAGACTCTCAACCACTGCGCCACCAGGGAAGCCCGACCTTTGCTCATTCTTAACAAACAATAGCTGGTTGTCTCTGTGATCCTTATCCCAGAACAGAGCTGAAAATCAAAAACTACATGCTGCGACAAGCCCAATCAGCTGAAATCACCCATAGTTAATTTAACCTAAAATACCTTAAAAACACTAATGGTCCAGTACTGGTTTGAGAATATTACACATCAAGCAATGCTTTAAGGTAGTAACATCATGAGACAAGAACACTGAAGTCATACTCTTTTGAAATAAAGTCTTCAAATTGTTTTTCTATGTAACACAGAATGAGAAATGGTAATACTGTTACAGAAAATGTAGGTTTTGTTTCTGCCAGGAACACACCATGCAGATTATTTATTAAACACATCAAATAGTGGACTAATTTGATTAAAAAATCAACTTACAGTTTTGGATTTGGTAAATTTATCTTCACATTTGATTGCTTCCTCTGGAGAAACTCTTCTTTTTGACAAATCAATATATCCTATATGAGAAAAATTTGAAAAAATTATCTCTGTCTAAGTGCCAAAGAATCACTGTGACAATTTTCACCACCAGATTGTTGGGTTGGCATACCTACACTTATTCCCCACTAAAATCGTATCAACAAAATACTGCATAAAAAGTACAAGGTAAGAGATTTTTGTTTTCAGAAATGAATTTTTATCATCGTGTAACTGCATATTCTATTACCTTAGTGGAGGGGATAATTTTCAATTATCCAAATGAGAGCTAAAGCCAAAAGACACTGTATTTGTCTATTTGGCATCCATTCATCACAGGGTCAACTGCATTAACTATATTTTCTGTATTCTTGATGCTCTGACATTTGTGGCCTGGCTGACTGGGGAAGAGACTTCCCTGCCTGGCACTAGACAATTCTTAGAGTTGGCAAAGGCCTCAGTGGGAGCAGCCTTTTACATGCAAATCAACCAATCTAGAGCCCATACCTCCAACCATCTCATCAAAGATCCACACAGCAGGCCAATATTATCCCATGCCCTAAACCAGCATAGAGCCAGGTACCAGACAACTAGGGACAGCCCCAATGCACCAAGCCCTGCCCAAACTATTCAAATGAGCCAACCCTAAACTGTTTATGCCGACCTGCCTTGCCTTTGTCATGGAAACCTCAATAAAAGCTCTGGCCTAGGCTTTCCCCTTGCTCCTTCTATCTCCTGATCAAAACCGGTGCTTCCTCATGTGGCTTTGCATGGCATGCTGGGTTCCCATCTCTTGGGAAACTTTAATAATAAAAATGTTCTTTCAATGGCATTGGCCTCTCCATGTCACCAGTCACCTCCATAAATAAAAGGCCGATGGGTACACAATGAGACAAGTAGTTACATGTATTTTAAAGAATTATGAGGGAGCTCCCCAATGCTCACTGCAGCACTATTTACAATAGCCAGGATATGGAAGCGACCTAAATGTCCATCAACAGAGGAACAGATTAAGAAGATGTGGTACATACATACAATGGAATATTACTCAGCCATAAAAAAGAACAAAATAACGCCATTTGCAGCAATGTGGATGGATGGAGAGACTGTCATACTGAGTGACATAAGTCAGACAGAGAAAGACAAATATCATGACATCACTTATATGTAGAATCTAAAAAAAGGGTACAAACTAACTTATCTACAAAACAGAAACAGAGTTACAGATGTAGAAACAAACTTATGTTTACCAGGGGATGGTGGGGGGAGGGATAAATTGGAAGATTGGGATTGACATACACACACTACTATATATATAGAATGGATCACTAATAAGGACCTACTGTATAGCACAGGGAACTCTACTCAATACTCTGTAATGGCCTACACGGGAAAAGAATCTAAAAAAAGAGTGGATATATGTATATAACTGATTCACTTTGCTGTACACTGGAAACTAACACGACATTGTAAATCAACTACACCCCCATTTAAAAAAAAAAGAATAAAGAGGGAGAAAATGGTTTTTTACGTTTACCCACATATTTTCCATTTCAGCCATCACAGTTCTTCAGCCTGAACAACTTCCTTTACCATCTCTTATAATGTAGGTCTTACCTGGTAATAAATTCCCCTAGTTTCTATTTACCTGAAAATGTTTTCATTTGATTTTTGTTGTTGAATATTTTCTTCAAATACAGAATTCTGGTTTGACAGTGTTCTTTCAGTGTTTTACAGATATCATTCAATGCTCTGACCTTCATTATTTCCAATAAGAATGCCACAGTAATTTGTATTACTGTTCCCCTATAAATAACATCATTTTCCTCTGGCTACGTTGAAGATTTTCTCTGTTTTTCAATAGTTTGGTATGCCTAAATGTGGTCTTAGTATTTATCCTGCTTCAGGTTTGCTGAGCTTCTCTAATATATAAACATTTTTCTTCCCCAGCAAATATGGGAAACTTCTGGCCATGGTTTCTTCAAATATATTTTCTGTTCTTTCTTTTTCTCCCCTTCTTTTGGAATAGAGCTTTTGATAGTTGACAGGTTTTTTTTTTTTTCTCAGTTCTTCAGATTGGTTCTTTTTAAATGAACTACCTTCAAATTTCAAGGAGCCTTCTGTTATCTTTTATCTGCTGTTAGCCCATCCAGTGAATTTTTTAGATATTATATTTTTCATTTCTATAATTTATATTTAGTTCTTTATGAGAGTTTCTAATTTCTCTACTGAGATTTCATTTTGTTCATTCACTATTAAGCATATTTTCCTAATATCTTTGAGCAGTTATAACATTTACTTTAAAATGCTTATCTGCTAATTCCAACATTAGGGTGATCTCCAGGTCAGTCTCCATTGATTACCTTTTTTGTATGGGTCATATTTTCCTGTTTCTTCAACTATTTAGCAATTTGAGTTGTATCCTTGACATTAGGAAATATATGTGGCACATTGTGAATTCCTTTAGGTTCCTCTTAGGGACACTGAATTTTTTCTTTCTTTTTTTTTCTGGCTAATCCGCATGGCTTGCATTTCCCCAATCAGGAATTGAACCCACGCCCTCAGCAGTGAAAGTGAGGCATCCCAACCACTGGGCTGCCAGGGAATTCCCAAGGATACTGAATTTTTGTTTTAGCAGTTAGCTTGTTTGAATTCAAAACTATAAGCTCTGTCTCCCCAGATGGAAAGCAAACAAAATTGGTTTAGATTTTTACCCTATTGGGCTGCAGTCTACCCTGTGTATTACTAGTTTCATGGGCTGGCCAGAGATTTCAGCAGAATTTGTATATAAACTTGGGGGCTCTCCCTCTGTGTCTCTCCTTTCTCTAATCCCTATCACTACTTTCCAACTGTTGTGGTTGTCCAGAACTCTCATCTCTGGCTCTCAAGCCATTAAGACTGTAGGTTTTCCCCTAGAATTTTCAATGCCCTGCTTGGAAGTTGTCTGTAACATGCATTCAATCAAAAAACTGTAAAATTTATCCAGTGCAGTTCCTTTCTTCCAAGTGTCAACCTGCCTTCAGTTTCAGCCTGCTTTTGGTTGCTCCCACTCTCCTTGAGTAATTTTTACCACCTGTTCAGATACTTGTTTAGGGTTTATAGCAGTTATGATGAATGGTTTATCCAATAGGACTTAATCTTCTAGTAACAGAAAGGATCCCTTCTATAGATCTTCTGCACTTTGCTTTTTTTCTTATCTTACCCTGGAGATCTTTTCATATCAGAATATTCAGATCCCATTCTGTATAAAATTGCCTTGATTGGTTGTGTCATGATTTATATAACCACAATTTAGATTGTTGTTTCTTGTTTTTAATTAACACTGTAAAAACAATGCTATTATGAAAATAAATTTTTACATGTAAATACTGTACTTATACAAGTTTACCCTTTCACTTTTTCTGATGGCAGTTGAAAATGTATTTGATTCCTTTTTGTGTATATATTTCATATAATAGGAAAGCAATATAAGATAAGACACCATTCGAGGTCCTACTGGAGCAACAACGAAACACAAGTTTAAGGAATAATCTCAGTCTTCAAGCAGTTTAAAAAATGGAAGCTGGGGAGGGTGGCACAAGTAAGTCATATCAAAGCATTTAGAATAATCAATGTGCTAAGTGGTAGCACCACCTAAGGGGTAATACAAGCTGCCTCGAAAGTTTATTGTCTAAGATTATAATCAGAAAAGAAGTCAGTTATGTATAAAATTATTCATTTGCAGAAGTATCAATTAACTAGGTGGCTGAGGAGATTCAGAAAGCCAAGCTCAGTCAGGGTGACTGATTGGTCTTTTAAGCATGATGGTAACCACTTGCCTGAAACTAAAATCTAACAAACTATAGTAAGATGACTAAAACAAATTATCTTAACTATATTAAGCCAGTTGAAGACAAAACCTACTCAATGGTATTATACAATATATTTAGAAAAATTGTGTTCACAAAGGTGAAGATTTACATGGGGTCCAAAGAAGGGGCACCCAAAGAGTAAATAAATGAATACCTATTCATCTCTGCCGGAAAGATCCCATAGGATCTGGGGGTCACAAACATTCTGATTATCAGAGACATACAATATTGGGTTTTGGGTGTGTGTCTGCAGTATACTGCTTTTTTAAAGACATAAAAAATATTCCTAAAATCCACTTACCTTTGCCCAATTTCCATCACTTATTCAATAACCTGATTACTAATCTAACTCTAAATCAATAAAAAGGCACCTGACAAATATGAATGAACTAGTACTCTGGTTTGCTTATTTGTCTCTCTGAGTTTGGGAGTTTGGCAATGAGTCAATTATCAAGATCCTGATAACCTCTGGGAATAAAATTCAAGTTACTTGGCTCACAAAAACTAGTCCTGGGATGTACTAATTAAACCACTACTGGGCTTCCCTGGTGGCGTGGTGGTTAAGAATCTGCCTGCCAATGCAGGGGACACAGGTTCGAGCCATGGTCCGGGAAGATCCCACATACCGCGGAGCAACTAAGCCCATGCACCACAACTGAGCCTGCACTCTAGAGCCCACGAGCCACAACTACTGAAGCCTGCATGCCTAGAGCCCATGCTCTGCAACAAGAAAAGCCACCGCAATGAGAAGCCCATGCACTGCAACGAAGAGTAGCCCCCGCTCGCCGCAACTAGAGAAAGCCCGTGCACAGCAACAAAGACCAAACTTAGCCAAAATAAATAAATAAATAAATAAAATTAAAAAAAAAAAAAAAAACCACCAAAAAAACCCCAAAACACTACTAACTTAAAAGGTCTTGTTTAGATGGTTAACTAGCACCCTTCTCTAACAACTCTGTATGTAAAAGAGTTTAAAGACAAAAGGAGGTGTTTTTTTTTCTTTTTTTTTACTTCAGTAGGCAATTTACAAAAAATATATTTTAAAATAAATCATTTTAAATAAAAAATTTCCAGATATAAATTATTTAATATATGAATACTTATATATTAAATATAAACTTATATTTAACAAGTAAATATAAATTTTTTAAATATAAATTATTTTAAATCTTTTTCTCATTTACCTTTTTCTTTGTCCACTCTGATAACAACCACACATTCATTCCTGCCAATTCGGATGAGTTTGTTTATAGAACGGATACGCCTTCTGGACAACTCACTCAGAAGAATCATGCCTTCGATGTTGTTGTATTCCAGCAAGCTGACATAAGCTCCCATTTCAGCAATGGACCTTACATTCACCATCACTACGTCATCCACCTCAGGAAATTTGTGCTGATAAAATCTACAACTTAGACCCGGCATTCTGCAATCTGAACAAAAGAATCAAGTAAGTGTTCAGTTAAGGTCAAAATGTTAAAATGTCAATTTTCCACATCTTGCCACTGGAAGAAGTTATTGGTTTTCTCCCCTCTTTAAACTTCTTAAATGGTACCAGAAAACAGAGGAATGTTCTGGAACCAAGCTTTAATTTTTATTTTGCTCCACATTTTTGTAAGGCTTGCGTGATTCTCTACCATCAGTTTCAGAGGAATCATAAAAAATAACGACCATTTACAAAGTCCTGACACTGAAGGATTAAAGGTATACCTTAAGAGTAAAATATTATTTTAATACTTTAAGAAATAACAAATGATAGGAAGCATCACTACTATTATAAACCTGTCAGAAAAACTAAAGCTATTCTTCCTCCAAGTCAGCTAAGACTGGATATGTTACCGCCTGCTACATGAAGGGAAGACTCTTCCAACAAATTAAATCCTAACCCTAACCATATATCAAATGATATACTCTATTATTTACTATAGCCAAAATTATAGTATCACATGTCAAGACAAAAACAAAAAATTTATTAATCACAAAAGACAGTAATCTGAATTTTTTTCCTCTTAAAACAAACTTGAATTTAATTCACAACTACCATAATTTTTAGCTTCCACTTTTCCCATTACTCCCAAATATTCTTCTCTTTTGTTGAATAGTTATACCCAAGCTCGAGAACAGCTTTATAGATTCCCACTACTATAAAGTTCAAGTTTCTCTTAACCTCCACACATTAAATATATTTAAAACTACTCCCTTTGATCCACCCAACCTATTTTCAACACCACTCCTATTATGACCCACAGGCCTAAAATCATACCATATGTAGAAACACATTTTTAAAAGGAAGCTTTCAAATTAATCATAGTTGATAATTTTCATGTTTTTCTGCTAACCTTAACTAACTTACTATTGTCAAAGCTCAGAAGACAGGCAATAATAAGACCTAAGGTCCTATGAAAAATTTGTGAAACTTCACCTACTAACTTATTTTTTTTCATATTAATTGGGAAATAAGACTGTCATTACTTATCTTAAAGACAGAACACCTACATCCAGCTCATAGAACACCAGAGTTCTGCTTCAGAGCAGTTTGAGAACTTGCTACCTGCACCCACATGTTTCTTCCTAGTGGCTTACCCACTGATTTATACATTTTTCCACTACCTACAGGGTCCTATATTATCTGGCCACTGCCTATCTCCCTGAGGTATCACTTTCCTCCTAGTCTTCCCCATTTTATAGATGAAAAACATGAAGCATGGGTTAAGCATCTTGTTTTGTCATATACTGCTAACAAGTGACAGTCAAAATCTGAACCTATGAAGTTTGAATCCATAGTTTGTGTCTTATACATCAGGCTATATTTTCTCTCAATATCACTGATAAATACATGACAATCAGTAAAACATCTTAAACAAAAAGCACTATCAATGTACATATTCAGTGCTGGAACATAAACTATAAATTGTGCAAACTTTTAGTATTAACCTATCCCGTATAACAAAAAATAAAGCTGCATATTAATAATAGTGGCAGAGATATATTTCTCTTTGAAGCCTGACAAAACAGGGATTTAGCAAATAAAGGGAAGCAGACATTCAATTACCCACCAAGAAACAGCTGAGCTGGTTGTTTCATTTTTAAACAGGGCTTTTTTTTTTCTTGGACAACTGTTGTCAAATATCTGCATGTAAAGTACTAAAATTTGAGAGCTGAAAAAGTTTCAAACTGGATATAAAAATAAACGTTATGGAAATGTATGAAACAGTTTTAAGAGATTTAACAGGTGCTAACCACTTTTACTCACCAAGTTTCTTCAAATAGTAAAGCCAATAATTTTGGAGAAGCAAGACTTAATTCAATTGTAAAAGAACATAGGCAATCGTGTAAAAGAATCCTGAAGGGAGATATGGATGCTAATGCTTCAGGAGGTACAAGTCTCTTTGCAATAGACGGTGTAAATAAAGGAATACTGCTAATGGTATGTCATTCCCAGTAAAAGACAAGTAATGGAGTATAAAAAAAATCTACTTTGCAAAAGAACCTGCATAATGGTTAACAGATTTTGAACCTATCTCCTTATTTATGGAAATATTATGCTAATAACACTAACTTTGAAAAAAATCAGTCAGGAAAATAGGAGTCACACATCAAGTATCTATCAGCCCTTTTACATAATTTTCAAAGCACTTCGACTTATTTTATTTTGCCCTCAATAGGGTCCTCAAGTCAGGCAAGTAGCATAGCCTGACTTTGGGAATAGTTCTAGACATGGGTTCCAGACTTCGCTCTCCTACTTACTAGCTGTGGCTGCTTGGGAAATGCATTCCCATTAACTGTAGTTTCTAGTGTGTGCCATGTACTTCGCCGGTTTGTGGCGGGTATCAAATGAAATAATATACATGTGATAAAATTTGGAAAGTGTAATGTGCTATACAAATATAAGCTATTAAAAGGCAAAGGACGTATCATTTCCATTTTGTAACTTAATTCATTAAACAATTATTATTAAAATAAAGTATTAAATGACTTCCTCAAAGACAAATGCTTACTAAGTACAACAGGAGCTAAATCCAGGTCATCTGACATTGACTCCAGAGTTTAACCCACAAAGCCTCAATATGTCAGAGTACTACAATACAGTATGTGTTCTCCAGTAAAGAACACCCATCTTTCAAAATACATGAACTGAATTCCAAGATAATTTCAAATACCCTGCAATGTCAGTAATTTTGCCTGGTCAAACAGTAGGCAGGACTTCTTAAACCACTGCATGGTCAAGTCGCCATAATGTATACAGAAGTCCACATTCGTTTCCAAAGTAAAGTATGATGTGATAGAGGCAACTCCCGTGATCATTCTGATTCGGCCCTAACACTTAGTTACGTTCTGAATGCTCGTTTTTACTACATAAGTGCTACACAAATAAAGCTTTTAAACTAGTTCACTGTCATTGAAATAGGAAGCACCCATCTCTAAAAACATTACTGTGCATCTTTTTGAGATGTTTTGAGAATCGCTGTCATTTGGCATCTAATGAACTGAGAAGAGGCAGTAAAGCTCTATGTAAATAATTCCAAACTGTTGAAAGACACAGAGTTACAAGGTTTTTTCCCCCTGGATAACAGCTTAAATCGGTAGAAAAAACAAGACTTCTTTGCTACACCTTTTCCCCAAGAAACAATGTTTCTTGTTAATGAACGTTAAAGTAGCCTAAGTTTGGGGCGCTGACAAAAGGGACCTAAAATTCCCGTATCTTATGTGTTTTAGTTCTGCTTAACCGTAAAATCACAGCGCGTATTTCTACAAGTCTATTCTCATCGGTGCTGAAACACGGCAAACCGATACGAAGAGTAATAAACTCTTCAGTAGGATCTTTTAGTGCCATCTTAAGGAGCGACTCACTCTCCAGAAACGCACCACTCCAGCAACACAGGGCGAAAGCAGCTTCGATTTTTTTAATATCACTTATCAGATGAACAAACTTGGATCTTTTTTTTAACCCAACTCTTGTCAATATCGTGGCCCAATCAACGGGTTCCTTGAAGTGCCAGGTCTGGTTACAATTGAGAGTATTTGCTGGGGCGGAAGAAAAAAAAAAAAAAAAGGATGGAACTCTCAGGCCCGGAGAGGGCAAAGTGTTCGCGTCCCGGGGCGGGGGCGTCACGGCATTCTCCCAAGGCCGCCCCACCTCACGGCGTCCCCACTTGAAGCACACTGAAAGGGCTGTTCAGTCACTCGGCCCGCCTCCCTTCACGAAAGGCCTCCGTTCGCACGATGACACCTCTGCTACACGGGGAGACCGACACGGAGCCGGCGGGCGGTGGCAGCTGTGTGCAGACACTTCCCGCGCAGGGACGGGAGAAGGAGGGGGTGTTAGCCCGGGGCCTACCCTCTATCGATCACCCATGTCACTGGACACAACTAAAGTGAATTCCTGGAGAAACCGATCGGGGCGACTAGTCACCTGAGGTATGTGTGTGAATCCCGCACTGGTGTCCGGCGCCACGCTCTTCAATCGGAGAGACCAGACTTGATGCACCCGTAGCAGCCGCCGACTCTCCTCAGCGTGCGCTTCGCTCGACCCCACCGCGCATGCGGAACCACCTCGCAGCACGCAAGCGCCAACAGGATGGAGGCCCCTCTTCGTCACTGACCATGGAGTCCAGGTCCTCCGAGAACAAAGAAGAATGTGGACCTTAGGAGGACCTGAAAAGTACGTTTTCTCGCTGTCTTTAGCTTTCGCTAAGTAACCTTCAAGGCGCAGGTAAGAGGGAGGACTCTGATTCCTTGTCCCTGAAAAATAAATCCTCTCTGAAAGCTTTAGTCAACCATGAGGTGGCGCTGTGACCAAAAATGAAAAGTGGAGGAAGAGAAGGAGTGTACTCTTCCCTGTTCTTTCGCTTCGCCCTGCGCAGCCGCCTGGGAGCTGGGGACTGGTGGGGGGGGGGCGGGGGTGGGGGCTAGAAGACGAACCGGAAATGAGAGGCGGTTCCGGGGTGCGCGCGCCTTTACATCCGGGCATCGCCTTCTTCCTGTCGCCTTCCCCACACCCCTACCCCCCAACCCCTACCGACAGGAAGCGGAAGTTAAGAAGGCGTATCCTGGCTGCCTCTTAACAACGCCAGGGGGTCACGGGACACAACCAGCTGACTCAGGTAGCGCAAGACTCAGTGGGTGGGCTTGTTGCAGCCACGGTTGCCCGGCCAGGGACCCGGGCCGAACAGACATCGTCAGAATGTCGGCCAAAGACCGAATTGAAATCTTTCCTTCGAGAATGTAAGTAAAAGAATGGAACGAACAGGTGTTCAGGAAGACCTGCCCGAGCCGCTGTCCCTCCATACCCTGGACCAGCAGCGGAGCTCCTTGTTTCCTGGGCCGACCTGAGCTCTCTCCAGTCTCTTCTCGTGAGTCCAGGGCGAGGCTCCCTGAGGGGCCCCTTACACATTCCTCTGAGTGAACCAGACTGGACAGAGCAAGTCCAGCCCGTGAGAACAGGCGCCCGGCCTGCTGGCTTTTGTAGAGATCAGCTGACTTTAGTCATTAATCGAGCCATTCATTCCATATTCCCTTATTGATCCGGACACTGGATTTATATAACTATGAATCGTCGCCACTCTTGCCCTAACAGCGCTCACAGTTTAGTGGAGGGATAGACAAGCGGACGAAGTTTGATAAATGCTTTTTTTTTTTTTTTTTTTTTTGCGGTACTAGGGACTCTCACTGTTGTGGCCTCTCCCGTTGCGGAGCACAGGCTCCGGACGCGCAGGCTCAGCGGCCATGGCTCACGGGCCCAGCCGCTCCGCGGCATGTGGGATCTTCCCGGACCGGGGCACGAACCCGCGTCCCCTGCATCGGCAGGCGGACTCTCAACCACTGCGCTACCAGGGAAGCCCTGATAAATGCTTTGAGAAGAGAAGTCTACTGCGGTGGGAAGCAGGCTTCTAAACCAATTTGGGGGTTGAATCGAATCGCCCTAAAGTGGGCGTCAGGTTCGATCTTGGATACCCATACTCATTTTCCAAGATCCCCTGAAATGTCACATGTGGTGGGAAGCTAGACCTGAATTTCCAAGGCACTCCTTTTGTCTGTCACTGTTGCATGTCATTCAGACTTCTGTTAATATCACCCATCACATTGTAAAGTGCATATTTGTTTATGTATATTTACCACTGGACTGTGAGCTCTCTCCAGGATGAGAAGTGTCTTGATTATTAATCCACAGAAGGTCCACAAAAAGTGTTACTTAAATGAACCCATGCCGTGGAGTCTGTTCAGTTGTGGCCTCTTTTTCTCTTTGGGCCTGAATTCTTTGTCAGGAGAAAAATTTTAAGTTTTCTCAAATGTGCCTAACAACGTGTGGAAGGTAAAGATTGTTCTTATTTGCCCTCTCCCCCTCTTCCTTTTCCTCTTTTTTTCACTGAGGAGCAGAAAATCAGTTTTGGCTTTGACACTTAGATCTTTTGATTGTGGTCCTATCTCTTTGGGGGTGTTCTGCTGTTTTTCTTTATTTTGACTTTTTCTCAGAGAATCTGAGGATGCTTTAAAATAAGAGTTATATTTTAACCCCCAAACCTAGATTTCTGTACCTACCTGGGTGGCTACAGCTTTTAATGAAATGAAGGGGATTTTGTTTGTTTGGTTTCTACCTTTGCCTATTGACTTTCTAATAGCTGTTAGTCCTAGGTGGGAAGTAAGTCAGTTGTGGAGAAAGGCAGTGCCTGTGAAATAGATAAGGCTCAGGACTACCCTGGGGTAGTGAGGACTGTAGAACTCCCAGCACTTAAAGACTGACTCCATCCAAACCTCTGCCCTAAGAGACACCAGACTCTAGCATGGCTTCTAGTAGCCTAAGGCTATGTTCCTAGAATCACTCCAGCCCCTAGTAAAATGCCTGCTTGAGAAAACTCATCCAGCCAGAATTTAGTCTTTGTTCTATTCAACACCTGAGACTATGCCCCTGACCTCCCTTCCTTAATTGCCTGCTAGCAGACACAGCTGGCCTGATGGCATTTCCAATGCCCAACCTTTTGGAATTTTTCTCTGACTCGCATCCACTCTCACTCTCCTCGCTCATTTTAAAATGCCTAATCACCTGTGCACAATCAGAAAGGAGCTCAGCTCTTTCCCCTGCTATCAGTGGTTACTGAATAATATCTGTTTTCACAGTTTTAATGTCTGGCTGTGTTTATCTTTGATAGTAGTCAGAATGTTAACATTTTGTTTTGTTTTGTTTTTACTTTGAGACTAAGAGGTGAAAATACACTCTTTGGGCTTAGACAAGAATGATAGGTTTGTGAATGTGAAAATTGCTATGTGAGAGCACTCAGCTTGCCGATTGAGAGGAAAATCAGGTGCAGGAAGTAACTGCTTCTCTAAATATTTTCCCCAAGGCTTATCAGCAGGTACTTTGTCATGTAGTCAGATGTTTTTGATTCAGCTGGAAGCAAAGTCATCATCCTAGCTGAAGGTCAAACATTTTTTGTAGGGCCAAGCAGCTCTGTAACTTGTAAAATAACAAGTGTTTAAAGAGCGAGGCTAGGAAACACACTAGTGACTTCTGTTTCAGACACTACTACCTTACAGTGTTATCCTGTGAAATGGGGCTGTCACCCACTTAGGCACCAGAGAGAGCAAAACAAGTTTAGAGTGGAAGCAAAAGAGGCATGACGGATTTGGAGTCAACAGAAGTCAGTCACATCCAGGTTCTCCTACATACTACTGGCTATAAGCCTTTGGGCAAGTCACTCTTTGAGTCTCAGGAATTAAAATTTGTCTATTTCATGAGAAAAGAAATTAAATATAGGAGGAAATTAAAATTAGCGTGGTGAATTCAGTTTTATGAACCAGTTCACCTTTTTACTGTAAACTTGCTGCCATTTGCAGTACTAGGACTTGACTTAAATTTGGTTCAACTCTTTGAGCCCAAAGTCTGGTGGTTAGTGTCAACAACACGGTACATTGGGGTGCATAGCTCTTGCTCAGGCTGGAAGCTGAACCAGCTTCACTTGGTTAGACCTCCAGTGAAGCTAGTCAGTGCAAATTCAGCCACTGATAGCTAGTTTTTCAAAGACAGAACTGTTCACCTGAATTATGTCCCCTTAATCTATAGGTGAGGTAGTATGGCACATGGTTGGGGTACAGTGGACCTAGGTTTGAACCTTGGTTAAATCCCTGGAGTCAGAAATCTGTTTCAGGTCTTGCTCTGCATTTTCTTCACCGAGTGACTGTGGGAAAGTCGTTTCACTTTTCTGAGCTTCGTTTTCTTATCTTTCAAGATAATGTCTAAAGCCCCTTCCAGCTATAGAATTATTTTAGTAATCTTTGGCCTATGGTAGAAGATTCAGTATAATCTAAGAATTTAGTCAGAAGTTTAGCAAAAACTATTTTGCAGTTGGTAATAACACCAGTCATATGAAATTATGTCCCCTTAAATCACTTTAGGTATGTTATACAATTGATTATTGAATCTTATTATCCTTTCTCATTATTAAATTTTATCTGGCATATGGTAGCAAGAATGGAAATGTCAATTTCTGCTGTTGCTTTCTTGACTTTGGTTTTGGGGTTTCTGATGAGAAAAGATTGAAATAGGGAGGTAAGGAGATTTAAGTGGCTTGTCACTTCTCAGAAGTGTTTACTTATATGTGTCATTTGTTACCTGGAGTCATTTACAAATTAGTAAAGTGATTGGTAGTAGAGTCTTAATTGATGATATCAAAACACTTCAATGCCACACTTTTAATGGAAAAAGTGATAAATGATTGTGGTATGAAATACAGAAGGTAAAACAGAATATAGTAGTAAAAAGTAAATCCATCTTTTTCACTCAACCTCACTTTCCAAAGGAAACTGTTACCACTTTCTGTGAACCTCTCTAGAACTATTCTCTTTATATAAGCACATTCATCCCTTACTGTGCATAACTGAGACAATGTAATATGAGGAGCACATGCAGATCTACCTTCCTCTTTTTTTTTAATGGCTTCATATCATT